CAGGTTCCAGTGGTGTGGGAAGGCCGTGCGTGTTGGTTAAAAAATGGCTTATTCCTTGTCCCCATTGTTTTGCTCTGCTTCCTTTTTCCAACTTCTTTTCAGTCCTCACCAGAAGGGACGTTAGAAGAAGTGATCTGGCTGCTGTGGATGGGATGGGGCCCTGTTATAAAGGTAGAAAGAATGCCGGACTTACCCTGAGAGTCCCTGGTGAGTCACCGGGTCCTTCAGTCACCATCGCTCTGATCTGAGTCATGCCCGGGAGGACTCAGCCTGTGCAGGTGCTGCCTGTGGAAGTGCTGCCGAGGCCCTGCCAGGTGCTGTGTCACAGGAATTCAGGCTGGAGGCCATTCAAGTCCAAACCCAAAGATGGGGCATGGGCAAGATCCTGGGGCCAGGGCTAAAAAGCTCTTGCTTATCTCACAGGTAATTCTTACATATTTTTTAAAAAATATATTTTATTGATTTTTTACAGAGAGGAAGGGAGAGAGATAGAGAGCCAGAAACATTGATGAGAGAGAAACATCGACCAGCTGCCTCCTGCACATCCTCCACCAGGGATGTGCCTGCAACCAACGTGCATGCCCTTGACCGGAATCGTACATGCCCTTGACCGGAAAATTAGAGGCTCAGTGTATGAATTCGTGCACCAGTGGGGTCCCTTAGCCTGGCCTGCGGGATCAGGCCAAATCCGGCTCTCCAACAATCCCCCGAGGGGTCCTGGATTGTGAGAGGGCACAGGCCAGGCTGAGGGGTCCCCCTGTGCACGATCGGGTCCAGAGAGGGACCACGGGAGGACTTCAGGGTGTGTCTGAAGCTATAAATTTGGTGGTGTGTGTGTGTGTGTGTGTGTGTGTGTGTGTAACCTCTTTATTGTTGAAAATATTACATATATCTCCTTTTTCTCCTATTTACCTCTCCCCACCCGCTCCTGCCCCCAGCACCATGGTCGGCAAACTGCGGCTCAAGGGCCACATGCAGCTCTTTGGCCCCTTGAGTGTGGCTCTTCCACAAAATACCACAGCCTGGGCGAGTCTATTTTGAAGAAGTGGCGTTAGAAGAAGTTTAAGTTTAAAAAATTAGGCTCTCAAAAGAAATTTCAATCGTTGTGCTATCAATATTTGGCTCTGTTGACGAATGAGTTTGCTGACCACTGCCCCAGCACATGCCCTTACCCCCTTGTGTGTGTTTTGTTTGTACATACATGCAGGAAGAAGGGAGGAGAAAGATACATCCTTAGCTAAGCATGTTTTTCCATTGATTTTATTATTATTATTATTTTTAAAAATATATTTTATTGATTTTGTACAGAGAGGAAGGGAGAGAGAAAGAGAGTTAGAAACATCGATGAGAGAGAGTCATCGATCAGCTGCCTCTTGCACACCCCCTACTGGGGATATGCCCGCAACCAAGGTACATGCCCTTGACCGGAATCGAATCCGGGACCCTTCAGTCCCCAAGCTGACGCTCTATCCATTGAGCCAAACCAGTTTCGGCTGATTTTATTATTATTTTTTTAATCCTCACCTGAGGATATTTTCCCATTGATTTTTAGACAGAGTGGGAGAGAGAGGGAAAGACAGAGAGAAATATCCTTGTGGATATGAGAAACACATGGATTAGTTGCCTCCCTCACATGCCCTGGACAGGGCCCTGCCCAGGAGAAGCCTCCAACCGAGGTATGTGCCCTTGACCAGAATCGGACTCAGGACCTTTCAGTCCACAGGCTGATGCTCTTTCCATTGAGCCAAATCTGCTAGGGCCTGAGGATTTTTTTCTTAAAAAAAAAAAAATGATTTAAAAGAGAGAGAAAGGGGGAGTGAGAAAGATGTGAGAGAGAAACATCAATTGACTGCCTCTCATACTTGCCCTGCCCGGGGATAGAACCCATAACCTCGGTATGTGCTCTGACTGGGAGTCAAACCCACAATCGTTTGGTATACAGGACAGTGCTCCCACCCACTGAATCATCCAGCCAGGGTGACTGGGGAGCACTCTTGGAGATACGCCTCCTCTTCACAGTCATCCTGCATGTTTGACGTGAGCATTTCACTTACTGTTTGTTAAAAGCTCCATACGTGCTTTTCCAAACATTCACAGCAGTAGAGATAATAGAAAAATGCCTCCCGTTTACTTCCAGAGTTAACAACACATGATCATTGTTTGACCTCTCCCTCCCCAACCCTTCCTGACTGTTTGAAATCACACCCCAGACACTGTGTGATCTCAAATGCCAGTACTTGTGTGCAGTTCTTTAAAAGACAGGGCTTTTGCCGAAACTGGTTTGGCTCAGTGGTAGAGCGTCGGTCTGCGGACTGAAAGGTCCCGGGTTCGATTCCGGGCAAGGGCATGTGCCTTGATTGCGGGCACATCCCCAGTGGGGGGTGTGCGAGAGGCAGCTGATCGATGATTCTCTCTCATCGATGTTTCTAACTCTCTATCCCTCTCTCTTCCTCTCTGTAAAAAATCAATAAAATATAAATAAAATAAAATAAAATAAAATAAAATAAAAGGGCTTTCTCTCTACTCCCAAATACCACAAAATCACGTGAGACAAGCATTTTAATAAATTGTTGGGTTGGCAGAGAATGTCAGCCATTCTACGTGGTTGCCGGATAGTGAGTGGGACACGCTTGGGACTGGGAGGGGGGGAGCCAGAGTGGTTCCAGGCCTGGAGCCCAGAGGCCAGTGCTGGACAGGGATCAAGAGGCCTTCTGGTTCTTTTGAGGCCAAACCTTAGAGAAGTTTGGGTAGTCTTCTGAACTGGCTCAGTCAGATACCTAACAACATGCCCTTTTAAGGCCAGTGGTGTCTTCCACGGTTTTTTGTGTTGTTTTTGTTTTTAGAGAGAGAGGAAGGGGGAGGGCTAGAGAGACAGAAATATTGACCAGCTACCTCCTGCATGCCTCCTACTGGGGATCAAGCTCGCAACCTAGGTGGAATCGAACCGGTGACCTCTTAGTTCATGGATCAATGCTCCGGCCAGGCAGACTGTATTGTCTTCTTTAGGGTAGTTCTTTCATTGATACAGTTCATTGGGAATTGAAAAATCTTGAGAGCAGAGATCGGAGCACTTAAACAGAACGAAAGTTATTGTGAAGAGAAAATCTTTTAAGTTTATTGTGTTTATATGATTAAAAAGCTTATTTTTACAAGACTAAAATACCCTTTTCTACATGTAGGTAGGTGGTTAACTTCTGAAATATTATTTTTATCTTGTTAAAAAACACTTTTGCCCTGGCCTGATGGCTCAGTTGGTTGGAGCGTCATCTGTATACCAAAATGGTTGAGGGTTCAATTCCCAGTCTGGGCACATACCTAGGTTGAGGGTTTGATCCCTAGTCCGGGTGCATACAGAAGGCAACTGATTGATATTTCCCTCTATCACATTGATATTTCTCTTTCCCACTCCCCTCCCTCCCTCTTCCTCTTTCTCTACAGTCAATTTAAAAAGCCCTGTAGCTGAAACCGGTTTGGCTCAGTGGTGGAGCGTCGGTCTGCGGACTGAAAGGTCCCGGGTTCGATTCCGGTCAGGGGCATGTACCTTGGTTGCGGGCACATCTCCGGTGGGGGGTGTGTGCAAGAGGCAGCTGGTCGATGTTTCTCTCTCATCAACGTTTCTAGCTCTCTATCTCTCTCCCTTCCTCTCTGTAAAATATCAATAAAATATATTTTTTTAAAAGGAAAAAAAAAAAAAGCGCTGGCTAGTGTGGAGTGTTGTCCCATGTACTAAAAGCTAAAAGGTGGCGGTTTCGACCTCTGGTTGGGAGGCAGGTGTGCTGGAGGCAACCAATCGATGTTTCTCTCTCTCGTTGATGTTTCTCTTTGTCTCTTCCCCTGTCTAATAAATAATAAATAAAAGCAGTTTTTCAGAAACCCATGTTCTTGAATGGGAATAAAAACAAAACAAAACACTTTTATAGTCCTTTAAAAGGTCAGAGAACCAGAATGCAGAAGTGTCTGCAAAGAAAAGGAAGATGTTCCAGTCTGGGCTATAGTTTGGCCAACATGTTTCCAGCTTCCTGGAGGTCTGGAAGGGCACCCTCCCTGCGAGGCCAGATGTTCGCTTTGGTTACTGCTGGCGACCGGGTCTCATTTTGTCCTCCCTCCCAGAGGAAACCACCTGCTGCACTAAGTCACTGCCTGTTGCAAAATGTTCCTTTTCTTTCTTTAAAAAAATATATATATTTTATTGATTTTTTACAGAGAGGAAGAGAGGGGGATAGAGAGTTAGAAACATCGATGAGAGAGAACCATCGATCAGCTGCCTCTTGCACACCCTCTACTGGGGATGTGCCTGCAACCAAGGTACATGCCTTTGACCGGAATCGAACCTGGGACCTTTCAGTCAGCAGGCCAATGCTCTATCCACTGAGTCAAACCGGTTTCGGCTCTATCTCTCTATTCCTCTCCCTTTCTCTCTCTAAAAAAAAAAAAAAAAAAAAAAAAATTTAAATCATGGTGGTTCCCTACTCAGGAAGTCCCTCCCCTGTGACTCTTCTTTCTTCTGGTGTATTCCTGTGACTCTAAGTATTGTGCATGTGCTGCTTCCTCTCTCTTGAGTCATCCTGTTTATGAGTTTTATGAATTATCTATTGACTTTCTGTATAGCTTCCATTACATGGCCTTCTCTCTTGGCCTGCCAGTGCTTTACCTTCTGGCTAAATGGGTAATGAATGCATATATTGTTTGCCTACACAAATGATATTCATAGCTGAGCATATTGGCATACTGTGATGTTTGTTTTTTTTCTCCCAGAAAAAGATTGCCTTCTTAAAATGTGCCTGGTTTTCTGTGTACCTGTGGTTAACGCTTCTCGTATCTTCTAGTTGTGTCTCGGTCAGTTACCCCTGTGCTCAGTGCTGGCAGGCCGTTAGCTCCTGCTTTCCCCCTGGACTTCCCTTCCGGAGCCCTCACCCTCCCTGGCCAGAGGAGCAGTGAGGATGGCTGTCAGTATGCTTGTGTCTCAAGTTGCATGGCTGCATGACTCTGGTGTTGGGTCTCCTTTTTTTATTTATTTTTTTATTTATTATTTTATGTACGAAGAGATAGCATTCTGTCATAAGGTAGATGTCTTGAATGACCCATTCACGGAAGTTCACTTAGTCCAACTTTCTGAAACCTACGTCCTTTGCGTACTGGTGGAAGCACTGGCGGCACATGTTGGGGCCGTACTTCCGGGTCAGACCTTGGCGGTTTGAGCAGACGAAGCAAGAACGAGAACCCTGGCCGAGTTTCCTCGGATGGCTCCAGGAGAGTCGCTGGTGACCCATCTTGCTCGCTCTGTAGCAACAAGGCAGAAAGGAAAGGGTGGGTCTCCTTTTGTGTATCCGGTGCCTTGTTCTTTTTGGTTCCCTTCTTTGTTCTGGAGAAAGTGCTCACGGAATTCAGGTTCTGTAGGCTGTGGCAGTTTGCATGCATCTGGGCTTCTAGGTCGGACGTACTTCCTCAGGGATTGAAAAGCATGTCCCATTCCACTGCTTTCCTGTTTCCAGTGCTGCTGCTGTGATGGCCAGTGCCTCCTGGTGACTTGCCTTGGAAGGTTCCTTTGAGTCATTTCATGGGAATCTAATTCCCCCCATTCCCTATGCTCGCTCTTTCCAGTGTTTGAATGAATGTTTGAATGTGGGCCCTTTGGACCATTTTCTTTTTTAAATATGTCTTTATTGATTTCAGAGAGAGGGAAGAAAGAGAAACATCAATGATGAGAGAGATCATCGAATGGTTGTCTTCTGCATGTGCCCTGACTGGGAATCGACCTCCTGGTTCAACCAGGTCAACCACTGACCCATACCATCCAGAACCACTTTCTTTTTTTAAAAAAAAAAAAGTATTTTATTGATTTTTTCTACATAGAGGAAGAGTGAGGGAAAAAGAGTTAGAAACATCGATGAGAGAGAATCATCGATCAGCTGCCTCTTGCACATCCCCTACTGGGGATGTGCCTGCAACCAAAGTACATGCCCTTGATCGCAATCAAACCCGGGACCTTTCAGTCTGCAGGCCGACGCTCCATCCACTGAGCCAAACTGGTTTCGGCAGGACCTCGGGATGTTGAGCAGAGTGGGCGAGGAAGCAGACTCCTCAACTGAGGGGCTGCCTGCCTTGAGGTAGGCATGGGCATAGACTGAGTTGCTCCCCACTCACACTGCCATGAGTGTGGTTGGAGAGCTGGCAGAGGTGGCAGGAGGGGAGACGAGAATGGGACCTGGAGACAGGCTTGTGTGGGGGGACCATCACAGGTTCAGGGAGAGATGGGGTGAGGATTTGAACTTTAGGGAATGGAGGTCAGAGTTGGGAACTGAAGAGGGGGTTCCCAGGTTTTTGGTCTGGGTGATTCTGAGATTACAGCGTGTTTTCTTGGTGTGTCACTGCCTCCTGCTCCGGCAGGATCTGGACAGTAAGGGGCTCCCCCAGTCCCTGGTGGAGGAGCTCATGGGGCCTGTGTGATGGATCTGGTCCTCCCTCAGCAGGCTCTGGTTTAAACCAGATACCAGTGGAACCCTGACTGGGCAGACAGGTATGGCTGTGGTAACCAGGAGGAAGCTAGACCGAGGGAGCTTGTGGAGCCCAGGTTGTAAGATACTAGCAGAGAGTATAACTGTCTGGTTTATTTTTTGCCTTCTGTGTTATTATCTTCTGTGTTATGGAGCATGATCTGCAAGCTGGAAACCATATTTTAAAACATGGTTTGCAGAAATGAAAACAGTGCTCAGGGCACCTGTTTATTCTTCAGCCACCGAACATGCACAGCCTGTTGGGACAGGCTCTGCGTGTAGCAGTGGAGGGGACACGTGTATGACACAGGCATGGTGCTGCCTTGCAGGGCCCTGGAGCTGGCCAAGGAGCAGCCTTTCTCCTCAACTCTGGACTGGTACAGCCGCTTTCACAGTCACGGGCAGAACTGGCCGTGTATCCCAGTTTCATTTCCTGTTGTTAAGATGTGTGTTCCAACTTGTCAAGATATGCCGGCGTCTGGCCTCTCATATTGTCAGGGCTCCTCGGTCTCTAAGTCACTGACAGCAGCGCCCATGCTGTCTGTGTCATCGGTGATGTTGCCCTACCAGGGCGGGATGGGGCTCCTCCAGCAGATGCCCGGCATCTGGTGCCTTTGGGCCTGGCGAGTAAGCTGTTACAGTAAGCTGGCGTCCGGGTCTTATTTCTGTGGCTGTGCCGGGTGTCTTCGCTGAAGTTAAGATGCACAGTGTTGCCCTGACCGGTTTGGCTCAGTGGATAGAGCATCGGTCTGCAGACTCAAGGATCCCAGGTTTGAGTCCAATCAAGGGCATGTACCCCATGGGGAATGTGCAGGAAGCAGCTGATTGATGTTTCTCTCTCATCAATGTTTCTAACTCTCTCCCCCTCTTTCTTCCTTTCAGTAGAAACATCAATAAAACATTAAAAATAAAAAAGATGCACAATGTCGGTGGGGCCTGTGAGTCTGCTGACCCTATAAAATAGGGGTGTCGAACTCAATCAGAGAAGGGGCCAAATTCTAAAATCCAGCCTAAATCGTGGGCCGAATGGTTTACTGAACAGTCATAAACTGTCATTGTGATGGAAACGCAGCGGAGTGCAGTGATGACAGCGCGGTGCGGGCCACATTGCAAGGCCTGGTGGGACGGATTTGGCCTGCGGGCCTTGTGTTTGACACATGTGCTATAAAAGATGGCCAGGAGGACAGCTTTTAGCCTGCCAGGAGCCTGGCTAAGCCCTTGGGGATAGCTGCTCTTGGGCACTGAGCCCATTTGTGTAACCAGTCTCATCTTCAGACCTGGGCACCCCTCTGCCTCTCTGTGCTTACGCCGTGGCTCCTGCCTTCACTTTCTGTCCAAAGCCTCCCACTCCGGACCCGGTCAGCTGACCAGCAAATGCCCCTTTGCTGTGTCCACTGCTCTGCTCTGTTTCACCTGGTTAGCTCCAGGCTGTGGCAGGGCTTGCCACACACTGTTGTCGGAAGGTGGCAAGGGGAACACGCATTGTCCTGGGGGTGAGGGGAGGCGCCCTTGGGAAGGCCGGTCTGCTCAGGCACTTCTCGTGTTGGAAAGGCTCCTAGAGCCTAATGCCAGGGACATCTCAGCACGTGAGTGCTGGCTCCTCCTGGCCTGCCAGCCTCACTTCCCTCTGAGTGGGCTCTTGTGTCGCCCTCCTGCATTATTTTTCTCACCTTTTCCTCGTGGTCCTGGTCTTACATTCCCTTGTGCGTGCATCTGCTCCACTTGGGGTGCTTTGCTGGAGGAACCTTTTGCTGCTTCCTCTGCAGGCTTAATGAAGCAGACGGGGCACAGACCCCCGACTCACACGTGTTAAACAAATTATCTACTGGTATGGTCGATCAGCGTCATTTTATCTTTATACATTAGCACAGACTTACCCATCCCTAAGCATTTAGCCTCTTCTGGGATTTCTTTAAGGACCACAAATCTGTTTCTGCAGCCCCAGGTGCACACTCTGTCAGCAGCCTGGGGTTTCTTTGTTTGAAGTGGTCAGGAAGCTTTCTTGCACCAGCTGGACTGGGCCTGTTTAATGCACTTGGGTGAGGCGGCAGAGCCCTGACATGCTTGTTCATTTGTTTATCAGCAGGTCAGTGCTGGGAGGGAGGCAGGGAAGGATTCAGTCTGTGAGCAGAGGGGCCAGGCCTTGGAACTCAAGCCTGACATGCCCCTTCCTTTCTACCAAATGCACATGTGTTCGTGTGTGTGTGTGTGTGTGTGTGTGTGTGTGTATGCATGTGTGTGCTCATGCTGCCATCCAAAGGGAGCGTATGCTTAGCTAATGTCGATAGCTCTGTCCCAGCAGAGCATTGGCATGATGAACATGTGTGATAGGATCTCATCTTTCATTGTATGCGTTGGCAAATGTGCTTTCAAGATACTTTCCTCGTGTGTGTGGTCTGTCTCTTCCATCCCCAGCCTCCAGCTGTTGGAAGTGGGGGCTTATCTCCTGGGTGCCACCTGGGGAAGCTGCATATCTAATGTGCGCTGTGTTTTGTGCTGATAGTGAGTTATCCCTAGGGCCTGGCCCCTCTGCTCCCTCGTTCCAGCGGTGCCTCATTTGCTTTGTGGGGACCATCTTCCCTGTTCTTTCCATCTTGTGCCCCTGCCGTCTTCCTCCCTTTCTCAGCTGCCTCTCATTGCTCTGCTGAGCGCACCTCCCTGGTTGCCTTTCCTGGCCTCAATGAGGCCGGTGCACTGGGGGACAGGCCCCAGCCACCCAGGGGCAGTTGTGTGCAGGGCTTCTGGCCAGGGACCTTGCAGGAGTAGATTCACAGGATGTCAGCATCTCTTCTCTTTTTGTCTTTCAGCGAAGATGCCATGAGAAAAGCTGGTGTGGCCCACAGTAAATCCAGCAAGGATATGGAGAGCCATGTATTCCTGAAGGCCAAGACCCGGGTAAGGCCCACGGCTGAGAGGCTCAGGAAGGGGAGGGTGTGATGCAGACCCTGGCAGCTCCTCTGCCTGGGGAGTGGGGAAGGGGTGGCTACTCACCGATTGCTCATGGGCACTAACAGTTTGCCTGCAGCTCTCTGTGGGTCTCCCGTGTGTCCAGGGTGTAGGTACAGGGAGGTTACTGGGTGGACTCCCAGTATGCAGTCCCAGAGTCTGACCCTAGACCTCACTCCCAGCATCCTCCAGTTGTGGTTAGCACCTATGAATCCTGTAGGGCATTCACGCAGGCCCCAGCTCCTCAGTGTCAGTCCTCGCCTGAGCCCCACACGGTCCTGACGTGGGCCGGGAAGAGTTCTGTTCCCTCTTGTTAAGTGATGGAGGTGGTGCTAGTGGAGATGGAGGAACCGGGCACAGGAATATTACCAGTGGAGTAGTTGGGGAGGACTTCCAGTGTGTGAGCTCTCATCCTGGCTTCCTGTGACCACCTCCTTGGGAGCAGAGCTGTTCCAGTACAAACGAAGCAGAACAGGCACAAAGGAGCCAAGCGCTCGCCTAATGCCAGCCAGTTTGTGCAAGGTGGGGCTGACGCCCAGGCCTTTTGTTCTGCATCACACCCGCCCCGTCCTCCATACAGATCCTGAGCCAGTCCCTCCTCTGACGCATTGGGTGTGCTCTGAGCACCGTGTGCCTGAGCTCTAAGACGTGCTGTGTCACAAATTAAAAGCAGATGCTATGGCCCTTGACTGGATACTGGTTTGATAAACCAACTGTCAAGACACCTGGAGGTCAATTGGGGAAATTTGAAGCACAGTCTGAATGTTTAGATGAGGTGAACACTTTGTGAAATGGAAAGGTAAAGATGACTGGCTAGAAAAGGCAGGTTCCAGAACAAACACCATCTGTATAGTTTGGTCTTAAAGGTCAGCACCCGGCAGGGCAGGGAGGGTTCTGTGCCCTGGGTATATGTGATAAGCATTTTCTTTCGTTTTTATAACAACTTTATTGAGATCTTTATATACTATACAATTTACCATTTAAAGTGTACAATTCAGTGGTCTTTAGGATATTCACAGAGTTGTTGTACCATCACCAGAATCTAAGTTTTATAACATTTTCTAAAAGAAACTCCATTTCCAGTCTGTTACTCTCCATTCGCCGTGGACCTTTACACCTGGGCAACCACTTATCTGCTCACCATTGCATGGATTTGCCTTTTTTGAACTTTTCATGTAAATGCAATTATATATGTTTTTGTGACTGACTTCTTTCATTAGCATAGTATTTTCAAGGTTTATCCAGCAACCATGTTGTAGCATGTACTTCATTTCTTTTAATTGCCAAATAGTATTTCACTGTATAGAGATGCCACATTTTATGTACTCATCAGTTGATAGACATTGTTTTCACCTTTTGGCTATTATGAATAATTCTGCTATGAACATTTGTGTACAAATTTTTATTTATTTCTTTTGGACATATACCTAGGAGTGGAATTGCTGGATCATGTGATAATGATGTTTAACCTTTTGAGAAATTGTCAGATTGTTTTCCAAAGCAGCGGTATCATTTTTCATTTACATTAGCAGTGTATTTGTTCTGATTTCTTCACTCCTCACCAATACTTGTTACTGGTTTTGATTTGCATTTCTCTGGTGACTAATGATTTGAGGCATCTATTCATGTGGTATTGGCCATTTGTGTATTTTCTTTGGAGAAATGTTTATTCCAATCCGTTGCCTATTTTTAAAATATATATATTTGTATTGATTTTGAGAGAAAGGGAGAGACAGAGACAGAGACAGATATATCAATGATGAGAGAGAGTCATTGATATCATTGATTGGCTCCTGCATGCGCCACACTACGAATCAAGCCCACAACCCTGGCATGTGCCTTGACTGGGAATTGAACCATGAGTTCCTGGTTCATAGATGGACACTCATCCATCGAGCCACACAGGCCAGTTCCTTTGCCCATTTTAAATTGGGTTCATGGTCTTTTTATTGTTAGACTGTTAGAGTTCTTTATTTATTTTGGATACAGTCTCTTATTATATAATTTGCAAATATATGGGGGATGGGATGTTTTAATTGTTTTTAATTTGTATTATAATTGAAAGAGCTTTGTTGAGGGCTTATTGAACTATTTCAGCTTTTGAAATGCAGAAGTTGTTGGTTCAGTATTTTTATCTATCGTTTCATACTGAACTACCCCCAAATTGGTGGCCTTCTAAACAGTGAGTTCCTTCTGATTCTGTGGGTCGGGAATTGGGGCAGTTGGAATTGCCTGTCTGGAATTCCAGTGCTCTCACGCGTGACCTGTCATGTAGCTGCATCTAGCTGGCAGCTTTGCTGGGCCAGATGGGCCATGAGGGTTCACTCCCACGTCTGCACGTTGGTTTTCCCTCCAGGTAGTGTCTCTGGCAGCATAGCCTGGGCTTCTTACTGCATGGCAGCTGGCCTCCAAGAAGTAGGAAGTGGAAGCTTCTGTTCTTGGAAGTCCTAGGACGTTGCATAGATCGAGACTGGCTAGCCTGGGACTGTGCAGGTTCAGGGGAGTTGGAATTGCCTCCACCATTTGATGCGAGCAGCAGGGTGTGTGTGTGTGTGTGTGTGTGTGTGTGTGTGTGTGTGTACAGGGAGGATAGTGATTGTCGGCAGCTTTCTTGGAGACTACACAGAGACTCACAGCAGCTGGGGAATAAGCTTCTGTCCCCCGTGGGCATCTGGCAGGCAGCAGCCCCTCACCGTCTTAGCTTTGCTTTTCTGTAGCCCACATACCAGACCTTAACGGTTTGAGTCCCACATCTCCTTGGTTTGAGCGGGTTCTACATCCCTCACTCTAAGATGAAGCTCTGCTTGGAAGAGAGACGTTTATTAGGAGTGTTGGAAATTTCCTGTCTTTTTACAAAGTCAGACAGATTGCTGTCTGGTTCCCAGCTTTGTACCACAGCTCAGGTTCCTCCTGGACCACATTCTGCCAGTGTGGCCCTTCCTCACGAGTGGGAGTTGGGGCTGGGGTGGGAGGGAGACTGTCTAGGTCAGATGGCACCCAGCATGTTTGCTACCTGTCTCTCCCTCCTAGAGCCCCATTAGAATGACTGTGAAAGAATTTAAAAGGTGGGAGGGACCGCAGAGGAGGGAAAAGGATGGGGAAGAGTGATTTCTCTGTTTTTCTAAAGTGGAGGGTGGAAGGGGACAGAGAGAAGGGGTGACCTAACCTTGGAACCTGGGGCAGTCCTGGAGCGGTTGGTGCCTTGTAGTAGAAGGTGTGCCGTGTCCTGTCCTGGATGGGGGCTGGGAATTCTCACACCTGGGGAGGTCGGACAGGACCTCAGTGCCCTGCAGATAGAGATTTAGGGATTGGAGATAGGACAGCCCCAGCCTGGGAGAGATCGGAGGTGGAGCTTCAGATCCGGGGTCTCCTGTGGAAAAGAATGTTTGCAGCCGACCTGCAGCAAACCCCAGTGGGACCTGAGTAACCTGGCCTTTGCAAGAATTTGGAGATGTGTTTAACCCATACGAAAGCAAAGCCCCGTGGTAGCAGTGTGACTTAACTATGTCCTGTGCCCGTTTCTCCTGGCAAGTGGTCACATCCCTTCCTCTCCCCCTCTCAGGCCCCCTCACACTGTCTAGTCCCGAGAGTCTCCACTCCACCAGGGAGCAGCTCAGCCAGGAGCAGACCACGCCGGTGTGTCTGCCCTGGGCCGGGGGTGTGCTGGGAATGTGTGCCGTGGGACCTGCCCGCCTGGGTCTGAGCCCTCGGTCCTGGTTCTGGGTGAAGGGCTTGGGGACATGCTCCTGAGCCCCACTCACTGTATCTTATGTCTTTAGTGAAAGACTCCGGTTGCTTTTTTTTTTTTTTTAATTCTTACCCAAGGATATGTTTATTGATCTTAGGGGAAGTGGGGAGGAGAAAGAGAAACATTGATGTGAGAGAGAAACATCAATGTACCTCAGCTGGGCATCGAACCCGCAACTTAGGTATGTGCCCTGATCAGAATGGAGACCGCAACCTTTTTTAAGATACTGCTCACCTTGCCTGGCCAATGTGACTCAGTGGTGAGGATTGACCTATGAGCCAGGAGGTCAAGGTTCCATTCCCCGTCAAGGCACATGACTGGGTTGCAGGCTTGGTCCCAGTAGGGAGCTGCAGGAAGCAGCCGATCAATGATTCTCTCTCATCATTGATGTTTCTCTCTCCCTCTCCCTTCTTCTCTAAAATCAATAAAAATATTTTTTAAAACTTAAAAAAAAAAAAAGAGAGATATCTCCCGCTTTGCCCCGGCTGGTTTTTCTCAGTGGTTAGAGCATTGGCCTGTGGACGGAGGGGTCTCAGGTTCAATCCCCAGGCCCAGTTGGGGCATGTGTGGAGGCAACCAATCGAGATGTGTTTCTCTCGCATCAATGTTTTTCTCTCTCTCTCTCTCTCTCTCTCTCCCTCCCTTCTCCTTTCCTTCCATTCTCTCTAAAAATCAATGGACAAAATATCCTCCGGTGAGGATTAAAAAACAAACAAACCACAGATATTGCTCACCTAAAAGATGGTCCAAGGTCCGAACGAGTCATCAGATATTGACCTGGCAAGCTCCCAGTCCTAGTCCTTCATACTGGGCCACTTGTTTCCTGAGCTCCTTTAGCCTCTTCCACACACACATCGTGGCTATCCACGCCCCACACTGCCCCCTTCAAGGCGCAGCCTCAGCAGGTGGGCCCTGCAGGAGCCCTGACACCAGTGACCCCTTCGCTCCCAGCACAGTCTCTCCCACCGGAAATGGGTGGGGCAGTGGGACATTAGTGGTGTGACAACCTCCTAAGTGCCCATTGCTCCAATAGGGACTCACTCTCTCAGTGCCTGCCTCCGTAGGTGTGCTTATGTATGACCACACCCCCCCTCCCCGGCCTTTCCCCCCTCGTAGTTTCCTCTGTTGATTTCCCCTGGCTGAAAAAAGTGGTGGGGTGAAGTCTGGAGACAGATGAAGGATAATAAAGATTTACAAAGTGAGCTTACAGTTTTACATTCATCTTGAGACCACTTTCATTTTATTTTATTATTATTTTTTAAATTCTTTGATTGATTTATTGATTATGGTATCACATAATTGTTCTCATCCCCCCAAACCCTTCCCCACGAATACCCCCACCCCCCTGTTGTCCATGGCCACTGGTTAGGCTCATATGCATGCACACAAGTCCTTTGGTTGATTTCCCCCCCTTACCCCACCCTTCCCTACCTTCCCTCTGAGGTTTGACAGTCTGATCCCTGCTTCTCTGACTCTAGGTCTGTTTTTATTCATCAGTTTTTGTTGTTCATTATTTCCTCTAGATGCGTGAGATCATGTGATCCAAGAAATACCCTTATAAGAACCGAAACTGAGACAAGCCATAATGGTTATGCTGAGAGTCTATATATATATATATATATGTGTGTGTGTATGTGTGTGTGTATGTGTATTATATATATATATATAAAGTTGATTTTTTTACAGAGAGGAAGGGAGTGGGATAGAGAGTTAGAAACATCCATGAGAGAGAAACATCGATCAGTTGCTTCCTGCACACCTCCTATTGGGGATATGCCCGCAATCAAGGTACATGCTCTTGACCGGAATCGAACCTGGCACCCTTCAGTCTGCAGGCTGAGGCTCTATCCACTGAGCCAAACTGGTTACGGCAAGACCGTTTTCATTTTCTTTTCCCTGGAAGTAGTCTTAGGACAGGCCCACTGTCTGTCCCTGGGCTCACAGGTGTGTGTCCTGGGGCAGTGCCACCACAGGAGCTGTGTCTGGTCCCAATTATCACCTTGCCAGTCTGCTGCCAAGTGCCATTCTCTGGTGACTTAGGAGAGGAGGTCACGTGAGCACCACAGGGCGTGGTGCAGGCTTTGCCCTTTTGGGGCCGCCTCGATGGAGGATGGGCGTTTTGAGAAGGGAAGGATGCACAGCTTGTGGGAAATAAGAGTCTAACTCAGGCATCCCCTTGTTCACTTCAGGACAAGCTCACATTAGCGATTTCCGAGGAACACCCGGTAGTCAGTGTCCTTGGTTGCACAGAGTACAATTGGTGGAAGGCAGCCCTGCCGAGCAGTTCCAGAAGCACGGCAGCTGGGACAAAGGGCCCTCGGCTGCGGCCTCCGCCTGCCGCCCCGAGTGCCCTGTGCCCTCTCCCCTGCCTGTGCAGCAAATCAGATTAACAGGGATCTCCGCAGGCACAGCTGGGGCAAACATCCAGATTTGCATGTCAGTGTGACGTCAGCAGTGAAAAAGCAACAGGCTGGGTATTAAAAGCGAAAGTACTTGGATACAAACAGTGCAGACAAAGGCGGCGGCCCGCCCATGGCTGCTTCTGATGAGCCGTGTGACCTCAGCACAGCCCCTCGCCCGCCCCGGCCCGCTCTCCCCGCCGCCTGAGCTGGCGCTGGGCCCCCTCGGGGGAGTGTTTACCGCAGGTGGAGGGAGCTTGTTTTTCTGTGTCGCGGTGCCTGCGTGGGCCTCCGGGCTGAGACTGACAGCCTCTGAGCCGGGTTCCAGGGGAGGCCCAGCTGGGCAGAGCTGGGTGGGCCTCAGCCACAGCCTTCCAGGAAGAGCCTCTGCTTGGTGGCACAGGAATGCCAGGGGGAGGGGGGGGAGCACACGGCTTCACTGCTTCATCTGGGATTAAGCTGCTTCCTGTTTTTACTTTTAGGACGAATACCTTTCTCTTGTGGCCAGACTCATTATCCACTTCCGAGACATTCGTAAGTAAAATTCTACATTTCCGGGCGTGATCGCTGGGAGAGGCTGACCGTCACTTGACCACAGGGCCTGAGTCAGAGTGTCTGTGTAACAGTGCCTGCTTTCTGGAAAGTTCTTCATTGCTTTGCATTGGATTCCATGTTTCTCATCTCCCCAGAGCCTCAGCCTCAAAAATGCTGATTTGGGCATAATGAAGATGTTGGCCTCTAAGTGTTTTAAACTGGACTGCTGTTTTTGCTTGTCCATTTAATCTTTTTTAAAAGGACTGTTGGCCCTGGTCGGGGCTCAGTCTGTTGGAATGTTGTCCAGACACTAAAAGGTCGCGGGTTTAATTTTTGCTCAGGGCACATACCTAGGTTCCGGGTTCAATCCCAAGTCTGGGTGTGTATGGGGAGCAGCCAATCTCTTTCTCTCTCTCTCTCTCTCTCTCTCTCTCTCTCTCTCTCTCTCTCTCTCTCCCTCTCTCCCTCTCTCCCTCTCTCCCTCTCTCCCTCTCTCCCTCCCTCCCTTTTCCTTTCTCCCCCTCTCCTTCTCTCCCTTCCTCTCCCTCTCTCCCTCTCTCCCTTCCTCTCTCTCCCTCTCTCTCTCTAATCAATAAACATATCCTCGGGTGAGGTTTAAAAAAAGAAACGATTCTTTAAAAAAAAGAAAAGGACTGTTGCTTTTATCTCCAGGCAGCTCTTCTTAAATAAGCAGTTTACTCTGGAACAGAAACTTCTTTCCCAAATAGTGGTTTTATCGACCCATGGAGGCCTGACCTAAATGTGTGTGTTCCTATTGGGCGGGAAGCTTCTGAGCCCGACTTCCTGCCTCCAGCTCCCTGCGTAGTGAGGGACACCCAGGTCCCGCCACATCCCCCCTCCCCTGGTTCCCAGGGTCCTCTGTGGTCCCTCAGCCAGGCCTAGCAGCAGCAGTGGCACTTCAGCAATGAAGGTCATTGCATCCCAGGGTCGGGGTTTTCTGTGTAGACACTGAGTGTTCCTGGATGGCTGGTGGGGGGTGGGGGCACCCTGTGGTTTTAGCCAACAGCACCTCTTGCCTGCCTGCAGTTGTGTTTCCACGGGAGAGGGGCTGCTGACATGGCCTGTCCTTGGGGTGTGCGCTTGGCAAGTTCAGTCGCTGTTCCCCGTGGTGGTAGAGGCAGCTCCAGATTCAGTCTCAGTAATCCTGGGCTAAGGAAGAACCCCAGAGGTTTTGCTTCTTTCCACACTAACTAGCTTTTTACCGGGACAGCCAACAAGGTGAACTTCACTTGATTTCATTTTCTTGCTCAGTTAGGGAAGTTTCTATGGAGCTAGAATAAGAGGAGGTGGAAGTAGGAGCCTGGAGAACGAGCAGCCTGGATGAACCGTCCTGGTTTGTCCTGGCAAGAGACTCTGCTTGTCGGGGCTGGGCTGGGCTGGTCAGGAGGTGGCCTGGCACGGTGGCACACCCAGGCCTGTGGGCGAGGGTGCCCACAGCTGTCTCACTGGCGCCTCAGGAGAGGGGAGAACTGGTGCAGCAGTTCCCCACCTGATTCTAGGGCAGTTAGGTCTGCCTTCCAGCCAGGTTTGGCCAGCCTGTTTCTTCAGAAAATGGAGATGCTGCCTGACAGGCATAGGTTGGACGTGGAGGTGTCATGGGCTTCTCAGCGGCATTCTGGACCCATCGTGGACCCTATAGCTTTCTTGTTTGTCGCTCAGGGCAGGAGCTGAGACTATGGACTAGAAAGGAAGGAGAGCTGGAGTAGGCCCACTGAGCCAATGCCCGGGCAGTTCCTTAAGGCCCAGGTTGACCCTGGGCGGCTCTGCACCCTCTTCTCCCAGACCCCCTTGTGCATCGGTGCTGCCCGGAATGGGGCACATACACACAAACACACACTGAAGCTCTGAGGTATGTTTTATCTAGTTTCTAGGTAGGTGAGCTCAGTTTTAGCAAATGACTTCTAGACAAATGCATATAAACTGACTTAACTGTGAAAATATGTGGTTATATAAAACTTTATTTTGTTTTTGTTTTTTAAATATAGATAACAAGAAATCTCAAGCTTCTGTCAGTGGTAAGAATTTTTTTTTTTTTTTGAATTCAAATTCTTCCCACCCTTGGATATGGAACAGCAGGAAATATATTGTGGGTGCCCCGTTTGCCTGGCGCTAAGCTGTTACTAGAGGAGAAAGTTCAGAGAGACCTCTGGCTGTTCCTGAGAATTGTGGAGCAGTGCCCCATACTCCCCATCCTTCCTTTTCCTGTGCGTAAGCTGCTGCCCCACTGCATTTCACTTGGATACAGTTTTGCCCAGCAAAAAGATTATAAAAACTCACATAGTTATTGAGACATTATCTAAAATTTTGCTCTGGGAGAGAACTATCTCTATATATAAAAGCCGAAGTGACTGTCCGACAGTTAACTATGATGTGCACTGACCCCCAGGCAGTCCATGCAGGAGCGGAAACCACAGGATTGGAAACACGGAATAGACTGATAAATCTCAGAGGCAAGGGGGGAAGGTGGGAAGACATTAACCAAAGATCTTATATGCATCCTAGAGGCTTGGTGCATGGATTTATGCACCAGTGAGGTCCCTCAGCCTGGCCTGCACCCTCTCACAATCCAGGACCCCCTTGGGGGATGTCAGAGAGGCGGTTTCAGCCCCATCCCTGCAGGCCAGGCCAAGGGACCCCAACAGTGCATAAATCTGTGCACCGGGCCTCTAGTTATTATATATTTAGTATAACAGCATGTAGTAGTTCTTAGAGAGTAGCTGTGAATTATCTTTAAGTTACAAAGTTTCTTTGTAAGTTAAAAAATATCATTTTTTTTTTTTAATTTCAAGGCTTTATCACATAAGGGAGACCCTGTCTGACAATTCAGCCTTGATTTTACTGACCGAGCTGAGCTGCCAGTGAAGGAGTTGAGATCCAACATGGCCGACTAGACTCCCACCTGTCAGGAAGGGAGCTAGTCTCCCATGCTGCTTGTCTTACCACAGGCAGCAGAGCTATAAATGCCAGATGCCCACGCCTCACGAGCCAGCGGCACCGGTCCCTGTAGGCCCTAGCTCCCCTCGGGGTGTCTGCATGTAGCTTGATCCTCAGCTTGCGGGGCGGTGGGACCAGAGTCCATGGCCAGGAGAACCTCTGGGCTCTGGGCACTGACGCATAGGGTCTGTGCACCCAGGTGTGTGGCAGGGTGCCCAGGCCAGGCCACACCTGTATTCAGCTAGGCACTTGCCATAGCCTACACTCATAACTGTGTGTGACGAGAGCATCCGGCTCCTTGTCTTGCTTCAGCATTGCTCACTGAGCTGAGTCTGGAGACCTGGTGGGCTTAGTGAGTGTCACAGTGCTCCTTTGCGCTTTGTGGACCTGTCCCTCACTTAGCTTGTTCTGGTGTGATGGCCCGGGTACAGGAGGAGTGTCCTGAGAATTCCTCTGTGGGGGCTCTGGTGGACCAGGAGACTTTTAATCTCCCTGGAGAGCATCGTCTTCACCTCCCCTCCCCTCCGCCTGAGGCTTTCTGTGCGCCCCACCCCCACCCTTGTGCCCTTGTTTCCTTGAAGAAGGGCCTTGTGCACTCACCAATCAGGAAAGGATCGCACAGCCGGGGGGGGGGGGGGGGGGGGGGCTGCTACCTTCCCTGAGGGCAGATTTGGCCTTCAATCTTAGGACCCCAGTACTGGCCGACTAGGAGGGTGGGACATGCTCCCTGCCCAGGAGGGCGCATGGTCCAGAAGCAATAATAAACACACAAGGCGCCCTGCCCTGGGGTTGTGACAGGCAGTTAGGGCAGCCTGTGGGAGGCGTCCAGGACTCTGACCAGCTGGGGCTTTGAGGCAGTAGAGCCTGGAGGTAGCAAGAAGGGGGCACTCCATGCCGCCTCACAGCCTTCAGAGCCTCAGCTGGCTCCTGCGGCACCACCCTGAGACGCTGTGCCTTTGTGTTCCCACAGACCCTATGAATGCACTGCAGAGCCTGACGGGTGGACCCGCCGCCGGAGCAGCCGGAATTGGCATGCCTTCCCGGGGCCCAGGACAGTCCCTAGGTGGGATGGGAGGCCTTGGTGCCATGGGGCAGCCAATGCCTCTCTCTGGACAGCCGCCCCCCGGCACCTCAGGGATGGCCCCCCATGGCATGGCTGTTGTGTCCACGGCGACCCCACAGAGTGAGTACCACCATTTTCAGAGAACCTGCTGTTGTCTTTGGAAGCGGCAAGCATTTTATTCCTTTGCTTAAGATGGTTGGAGAAGCTCCAAGGAGCTGTCTCTCTATGTTGTGGTGTGGGGAGAAAAGGTCCATGCCTCTGTGGGCTCCCAGAAGAGCTAGTGACACTGAGGCCCGCCTCTTACCCGGGGGAGACTGGAGGACTTGGAGGAGGCTGCAGTGCTCTGGGGCTCCTCCATCCAAGGGCTTGTATTTTGTAGCTGTGAGAGAAGTAGTTATGTCCCAGAGAGTTCTTGGTCAGGAAGGAGTGCTCTTAGCATCTCACAACCACTAGGCTGCCCGCTCTCAGGAGCTGCCTCTTCCAGCGCTGCCCTCGCCCTCTCTGTACTTCCCGCAACTCCCGCCCCTGACTGCGGTTCTCAGCTGCCCTTCAGGAGCCGGACTGTAGGGCAGGTCTTCCTCTTTTTTCCAGGACCCCTCTTGGTGGACCTTAGATAAACATTTACTTAGTCCCTGGAATGTACTTCAGGACTTCAAAGTGCTTCAATGCTTTTTTTCTTTAATAGAACATTTTATTTTTTAAATACTCTGAGTCACAGGAAGTTGCAGAGTAGTGCAGAGTTCCCATGTACCCTTCACCCAGCTTCCCCAGTGATAATATCTTGGTACATCATCAAAACAGAAATGAGCATGGGGACAGTGCTCAACTCAGGGAGACCATTCAGACACCAACAGTTCTTATATGCATTCTTGTGCATGCACTTACATGTGTGTAGTTCTATGATATTTTATCACATGTGGAATTGAGTAACCATCACCATGTCAGCATGCAGAACTCTTCCATTACCACCAACAAGCTGTTGTACATCTCTTTTTTATTTTATTTTATATTTTATTGATTTTCCACAGAGAGAAAGGGAGAGGAATAGAGAGCTAGAAACGTCGATGAGAGAGAAACATCGACCAGCTGCCTCCTGCACACCCCCTACAATGCCCTTGACCAGAATCGAACCTGGGACCCTTCAGTCCACAGACCGACGCTCTATCCACTGAGCCAAACCGGTTCTGCTGTACATCTCTTTTTTAAAAATTATTTTTTATTGATTTTTAGGGTGAGAGGAAGTGAGAGGGATAGAGCGATAGAAACTTCCATGAGAGAGACATCAATCAGCTGCATCTTGCACACCCCCTACTGCGGATCAAGCACACACCCTGTCATGTGTCCTGACTGGGAATCAAACCGCGACTCCCTGCTTCATAGGTTGTGGTTTAACCTATGTCTCTCAGTTGGGCTATCACATACCTTTATATATATAATTGATTTCAGAGAGGAAGGGAGAGGAGTAGAGAGGTAGAAACATCAATAATGGGAGAAAATCATTGATGGGCTGCCTCCTGTATGCCCCCTATTGGGTATCAAGCATATGCCCTTGACTAGAATTGAAACCAGTACCCTTCAGTCTGCAGTCTGATGCTCTTTTCTGCTGGGCCAACCTGGCTAGGGCTGTTGTATACCTTTTAATAATCACACAGGCCCTCCAACCCTAAGCTCTGGCAGTCATTGATCTGTTCTCTGTCTATAATTGTGTCACCTCACCAATGTTTTTTCAGTGGCATCATATAATGTCTGATTTTTTGAGATTGGCTCTTTTTACTCAACATAATGCCGTAGAGATCCTTCAAGTTGTATTAATCATTCACTCCTCTTCATTGCTGAGTAGTATTCCATGAGTGTACCAAGGACTGAGTGTACTAAGTTGACTGATGCATTCACCCTAGCATGACATTTGGGTTGTTTCCGGTTTGGGGCTGTTATATATAAAGCTGCTGTGAACACTTGTGTATGGGTTGTGGTGTTTCAATGTATTTTTCTCATGTATCCCTCATAGTAACCTACGAAGAGGGCAGTGTCATTGCCTCTGCTTTGCCCAGAAGGTAGCGTGACCTACAGCTGGGGTCAAACCCAGGCTGCCTGACCTGAGCCCCCTGTTCTTTGCTGGGTTTACTGTATTAATATTGCCTTGCTCTTCTCAGTTGGCACATGTGTCCTCATTCTCACCACTCCTGCACTGGAATCTTCCATCCCCGGCCATCCTCTTCCTCCTCAGGTCTTCTGATACCTTGCCATCAGACTCTTAGCTCTTCACTTGGTTCTTCATCTTGAGCTCCTTTGTCCCCCTCTGTTATATCAGCACACCTGATACACTCGCGGGATAGCTATGAAGGAATGTCTAAGAGAGGTACCGGCCCTGGCTCCTTTTTACATTATACTCTGGTGTACTGGTTGAGTTTCTTTTATCACAAGCTTGTATTTTATAGTAAAAAATAGTTATTATTTTGAGCCCAGCCGGGTGTAGCTCAGCAGTTGAGTGTCGACCCAGGAACCAAGAGGTCACCAATTCGATTCCCGGTCAGGGCATATGCCCAGGTTGCTGGCTCTACGCCCAGTGGGGGGCATGCAGGAGGCAGCCAATCAATGGTTCACTTTCATCATTGATGTTTTTCTCTCTCTCTCCCTCGCCCTTCCTCTCTGAAATCAATAAAAAATAATATATATATATTTTAAAAATTATGAGTTGAGCCCTGGCTGGTTTGGCTCAGTGGATGGAGCGTCAGCCTGCGGACTGAGGGGTCCCAGGTTCGGTTCAGGTCAAGGGCATATATGTTGGTTGCGGGCACATCCCCAGTGGCATGCATGCGGGAGGCAGCTGATTGATGTTTCTCTCTCATCGATGTTTCTAGCTCTTTCTCCCTCTCCCTTCCTCTCTGTGAAAAATCAATAAAATATATTTTTAAAAAATTTATGAGTTGAGAATGCTCCTATCTATGATTTGTCTTACAGTTTCACACCTAAGAATTTGTCAGAAGTTCAGTGGTAAAAGCTTTCATATCTTCCCCAATCTGACCTTGACCCACATCCTGTTTTCAGTTTCAGAGGGACCTGGTCTCCTGCGTGGCACTAGAGGAAGTTTGAAGTGGGCTCTCTCCTTTCATGTCCTGCTGCTGCCTCCGCCAGAGACCTTCCCTCCCTGCCTTTGACCTCTTGCCTGTCTGGTCTACCCAAAAGACGTGTCATGGCCCAATGGGCATTTGCTCTCTCTAACATTTTTTCCAAATGCCACTGTGTGATTAAGGCTACTTCAAGCCATCATCCCAGAGGACAGGGCCTTAGAGGGTTTGCCAGAGCTCTCAAAGGGCAGTCCAGGGCACACTGTGATAGTGTCCACGTGACCCAGGTTAGTCATAAGATACACAAACACTGACTGCGGGTAAGGCTGGGGGCTGGGATACAGAGTTTTAGTGAGACTTACTTATCCCTCTGAACATTGTTGTTCCTCAGTGAATTTTATATCATGTGCACGTAAAAACTGACTTTAAAAATAAGTCCCATTTCTGGCTGTTTGACAGACGGGGTGCTGAGGACCCCTCCTTCTGGATAACTAGAAACTGGGTAGGCTGCATTTTGGATTGCCCGGCTGGCAGAAGTAGGGGATGCTCTTTCCCTTTCTCTGTCCTAGCTCACTGCAAGATGGGAAAAGCAAGTTTGGGGTCCCTCCATTTAGCAGGATTTGTGCTAGGGCCCTTGGCGTCCAAGCACCCCCAGAAGCAAGGGCAGATTGGAGGAGAATTCTTCCAAGATCAGGGCTGTTGGAATTGCAGTTAAAGTCCAGCAGTGAGCACACAATCCAAGATCAGTAGGGATGAAAAGAAGCAAAGGCTCCATGAGGAAGAACAGAAACAGTAAACAGATATGGAAATTTCCAGGGACCATACACATAGCAGTTGTTAGGTACGGGCTTGGCATGCTAAAGAAAAGAAGGACGGAACCCCAAATGAGCAAGCACTGTGATACTATCTGGGATGACCAAGCAGATTTGAAAAGGAACCAAATAGAACTTTTAGAAGCTGAGAAATAAAATTCAGGAAAGGAAAAAAACCTATGGATGAATAAACAGTGCATTAGATATAACTGAAGGAAGAATTTGTGAACTAGAGCTACATTTGAAGAAATTCTGTAGACTGTAGCCCAGAGAAGCAGACATGGAAAATGTGAGGCTAAGAAATGTAGAGGATAAAATCACAAAGTCTCATATCTAAGAAAAGGACCAAGTGGAGAACATGGAAGCACAGTAGTTTGTGAGGAGATGATGGCTTAGAAAAGCTCAGCATACCCACACCGGTTAAATAAAGCATCCATGTCTTAGCCTGTTGTCAAACGGCAGAATACCAAAGGCCAGAAGAATATCTTAAAAATGGCCAATTTCTGTAAGGAGCAAGAAGTCCACTCAGCAGACTCAGTGATGGAGTCAAGAAGATGGGTGGGCCGAAACCGGTTTGGCTCAGTGGAGAGAGCGTTGGCCTGCCGATTGAAAGGTCCCAGGTTCGATTCTGGTCCGGGGCATGTACCTTAGCTGCGGGCACATGCCCAGTAGGGGGTGTGCAAGAGGCAGCTGATCAATGATTCTCTCATTGATGTTTCTAACTCTCTATCCCTCTCTCTTCCTCTCTGTAAAAAAATCAATAATATACATATATTTTTTTAAAATTAAAAAAAAAGAAGAAGATGGGAGGTGGTGAGAGTGCCGAGAATAGAGCTGCCAACCACAGTTATGTGCCAGTAAAACATCCAAGGAATAGGAGGAAACAGACAGTTTTAGATAAATAAAGCCTAAGAAACCTTCATTAAAAGGTTTTTAAGGACACACTTTTATTTGTCCTCACATTTCCTCTTCCCGGACCATCCTTTTCAACATGCCAGTTGTAAGATGGGAGAAGAAGTATTTTTCATATAAGGTTGTGAATCTAAACCAATAATTCCCAATGATTCTGTACCATAGGGAACATTTGGCAATGTCTAGAGACCATTTTTTAAAATATATATATTTTATTGATTTTTTTACAGAGAGGGCTAGAGAGTTAGAAACATCAATGAGAGAGAATCATCGATCAGCTGCCTCTTGCACACTCCCTACTGGGGATGTGCCCGCAACCAAGGTACATGCCCTTGACCGGAATCGAATCTGGGACCTTTCAGTCCGCAGGCTGACGCTCTTTCCACTGAGCCAAACCAGTTTCGGCTCTAGAGACCATTTTGATGTCACAGCTGTGGGGGTGCTATTGGTATCCAGTTGGTAGAAGCCAGAGATGCTGCTAAACATCTTATATGCACAGGACAGCCTCCCCCACCCCCCAAAACATAGGATTATTTGGTCCAAATTTCAGTAAGGACAAGGTTGAGAATTCTTGGTGTGAAAAAATATTACCTCTGTAAAATAATAATATTCAGAGCTAACTTCCATATGGACCTGCTATATTACAAGTACTATTTTGAGTATTCTATCTATAAGTCATTAGTCCATTGTAGGAAACTGAAGCATAGAATAGTGACAAAGTTGGGATTTGAGTCAGGGTAGTCTGGGTCAGAGGCTATACCCCTAGTCATTATTCTATCCTGATTTTTTAAAAAATTTAATAAATCTTTATTGTTCAGATTATTACAATTGTTCCTCTTTTTTCCCTCCATAGCTCCCCTCCACCAGGTTCCTACCCCATCCTCTGCCCTTACCGCCCCCCCCCCACTGTCCTCATCCATAGGTGTATGATTGATTTTTGTTCAGTCTCTTCCCACACCCCCGCCACTCCCCTTTTCCCTGAGAATCGTCAGTCCACTTCCTTTCTATATCCCTGATTCTATTATATTCACCAGTTAATACTGTTCATCAGATTTTTTATTCCCTTGGTTTTTAGATTCACTTGTTGATAGTTACGTATTTGTTGTTTATAACTTTTACATTTATCTTCTTCCTCTTCTTAAAGAATACCTTTCAGCATTTCATATAATTCTGGTTTGGCGGTGATGAACTCCTTTAGCTTTTTTTATGTATTTGTGAAGCTCTTTATCTGGCCTTCAATTCTGAATGATAGCCTTGCTGGGTAGAGTAATCTTGGTTGTATTATAGGTTCTTGCTATTCGTCACTTTGAATATTTCTTGCCATTCCCATCTGGCCTGCATAGTTTCTTTTGAGAAATTAGCTGACAATCGTATGGGTGCTTATCCTGATTCTTATAAGTCTGCAGTGTGGCCACAAGTTGATAAACAGGGACCAAAATAAATGGAAGCCAGAGAGGGGAATATATCAAGGAAATCAGGTCTATTATGTGCACATAAAACCTACTTTAAAAAATTGAGAGTGTTTTCCCTGGCCAGTGTGGTTCAGTTTGTTGAGCTGCGTCCTGTGTACCGGAAAAGCTGTTCTTTGGATTCCTGTCAGGGCACATGCCCAGTTGTGGGCTCAATCCCCCGTAGGGGGCATGCAGGAGGCAGATAATCGCTGCCTCTCTCACATCAATGTTTCTATCTCTTCTCCCTCTTCCTACCTCTCTCTCTTAAAAAAAAAAAAAAAAAAAAAATAGAGGGGGGGGGGTTTCTCAGGTCCTTGTATTTGGAAAAAAGATTAAAATATGCCTAAACTTTATACTTTATTTGAGTATATATGAACAGCCCTGGCTGGGTAGTTCAGTTGGTTGGAATGTCATCCCAATAATGCCAAGGTTGCAGGTTCAGTTACCAGTCAAGGCATATACAAGAAGCAACCAATAAATGCACAAATAAGGGAACAACTAATGGACCCCCCCCCCCTTTCTCTCCCCTTTTCTTCCCTTTCCCTTCTCCTTTCCCCTCCCTCCCCCTTTCTCTCTTTAAAGTCAATTTTAAAGTTATTACAGCCTGGATGATATTCAGAGAATTATGCTGAATGAAAAAAACTAACCATACTGTATAGTCCCACTTACATAACATTTTTAAAATGGCAACATTTCTGAAATGGAGGACACCTTAGTTGTTGCCACGGTGGAAGGATGGGGCTGCGGGAGCAGGTGGCACTAGTAGGGATCCCTGTAGTGTTGGACTTGTTCAATATTTTGACTGTAATCTACTCAGGCGAGAAAATTGTATAGAACTTAATATTCACACCTGCACAGATGAGCACATAGTCTGGCTGTGTTATTCTGTTATAATTTCACAAAATGGTACCATAGGTAGAAACTGGTCAAAGTATACAAAGGATCTTTCTCCGTATTCTTTTTCTTTTTTAATATATTTTATTGATTTTTTACAGAGAGGAAGGGAGATGGATAGAGAGTTAGAAACACTGATGAAAGAAACATCAATCAGCTGCCTCCTACACACTCCCTACTGGGATATGAAAAAAAAAAATAACCACTAAACGGGCTGTGGGTGGTTAGCAGACTGGCCCCAGAGGGCCAGTCAGGGGCCAGGCGGGCCACAGTGGGGGCCGAGGGTGTTGGCTGGCCAGCGCCACTCTCTGGTTGAACTCCTGATTGAGGGGACAATTTGCATATTAGCTTTTTATTTTATAGGATAATAAGAAGTCTGACCAGTGTGGCACAGTGGTTGAGCATTGACCTATGAACCAGGAGGTCATGGTTTGATTCCCGGTCGATGCAAATGCTCGGATTATGGGCTTGATCCCCAGTGTGGGGCATGGGCACAGGCCCAGGTTGTGTGCTCAATCCCCAGTGTGGGTGTGCAGGAAGCAGCTGATTTATGATTCTTTCTCACCATTGATGCTTCTGTCTCTCTCTCCCTTTCCCTCTGAAATTAATAAAAATCTTTAAAAAATAATAATAATATGAAGTGATATGAAAAAATAGCAAATAAAGTTTCAAAACATATCATAGAGAACTGAAATGCATAAACATCACAATACATATTTACAGACTGTATATGAGGCCCCCAGAACCATAAGAAATGCAAAAAAAATTCACTGTTAATTACTCATTCTTGAATTGTCCTCCTTAAAAAATCAAAATTTCCCCCTGTGGGCATGTGCCCCACGTTGGGAACCACTGGTATAGTGGCAATAAAAAGATGAAATACTGATACATGCTACAGCATGGGTGAACCTTGTAAATATTATGCTAAGTGAAAGAAGCCCATCATAAAAGACCACATATTGTGAGATTCCATTAATTTGAAATGTCCAGAATGGGCGAAGCCATAAAGACAGAAAGTATATTAGTAGTCACCAGAGGCTGGGCTTCTTGGCTATCCAAAAGACCTAGCTCTTTTCTTTTTGCTTTGTTATTATAGAACAGTTCGTAATAGTAAGTTTCATAATCCACACAAACGTTGCAGCCATCACATCTGTTCAATCCGAGCAGCAGGCGGGGCAGCAGATGGTCTTACCACCCTCCCTGTGTGCACAGCACTGGGCAGCGGGCTCTGCTTGCCTGTGCAGCTAGGCCTGATTCGGTCTGTCTCCAGCCCAGCTGCAGCTCCAGCAGGTGGCGTTGCAGCAGCAGCAGCAGCAGCAGCAGCAGTTCCAGCAGCAGCAGGTGGCACTGCAGCAGCAGCAGCAGCAGCAGTTCCAGGCTCAGCAGAATGCCATGCAGCAGCAGTTCCAGGCGGTGGTGCAGCAGCAGCAGCAGCAGCTCCAGCAGCAGCAGCAGCAACAGCAGCACCTGCTTAAATTGCACCATCAAAACCAGCAACAGGTACCAGGTGCTCTCGCTCCCGTACTTGGCCTCCCTCCGGTGGTATTGGAGCTCTGGCCACGCACCAGCCATCGTGATGGGTGTAGGGACCCAGGGCCAGCAGTGGATCCTCCTGACTCCGGTGCCTCAGCTTCCGTCTTCATGGGCTTCCCACAGAACCTATAACACGGAGGAAACATAGGCCCTGACTTGCTAGGAGGAAATCTGATCTCAAAAGACTGGCCTCTCTGCCAGACTTGGGTATCTAGCTGCAGACCTACTATGTGCTGGGAGCTGACTCAGAGGAGGCTCTGGTTGCAAGCAATTCATGTAAGAGTTATCTGGATCAAGAAGTGAGGCAAACTCTTCAAGATGCATGAAGGCTTGAGCCATCACGTGGGCTTGTTTGGTACACTAATCAGCCTACATCTAGTGTCCTACAGGGTCATGGCAATGTCACATTAGAAGCCCTGATCCTAAGAAAACAGTCCCCCAGCCCTCATGGTGTACAGTCAGCACCGGACGTGTTGAGCATCTATTGTTAGGTCTGCTCCTGGCTGAGGGAGGGAATCCCTGAGGGGATCTCCGCTTTTCTGCCTCCTCCAGGCCTTGGCTCGCTGACTCCTCTTCCCAGCGGCCACCCTCTCAGAGCCGACCCTCCTCTCATCTTCATCCTGAAAATCAGACATGGCCATCTTCGCGAGGCTTGTACTATTGACCAGTGTAGGGACCTCGGAGATTTGAGTCACCTGAGCGTTTACCCCAGCCTCCGTTGGGCTGCACCCAATGTTACTAAACTCTCCCAATATTTCCCTTGAATCTTGCATTCTCTAGGGTCTGATGGCCAGCGTCTGATGGCCAGGGCACAAGCGCACTCTTGGTGTTTCCTCAGTGGGAAGTGCTCCCTCTGCCCCGTGTGAGGACAGCCCAGGCAGGCTTCCTGGGGCAAGGCTGGCACAGGGCCCCGAGGCCGATGGGGTGACTGAGTGCTGCTTGTTCTGCCCCTAGATACAGCAGCAGCAGCAGCTGCAGAGGATGGCACAGTTGCAGCTGCAGCAGCAGCAGCAGCAGGCTTTGCAAGCCCAGCCGCCAATGCAGCAGCCACCAATGCAGCAGCCACAGCCTCCCCCCGCCCAGGCCCTGCCCCAGCAGCTGCAGCAGATGCATCACCCACAGCACCACCAGCCACAGCCCCAGCCTCAGCAGCCACCAGCGGCTCAGAACCAGCCGTCACAGCTCCCGCCACAGTCACAGACTCAGCCTCTGGTGTCGCAGGCTCCGGCCCTCTCCGGACAGATGCTCTACCCCCAGCCTCCGCTGAAGCTTGTGAGTACCCATGACACGTGGTAGGCTGTGGCTCTTCTCTGGTGTCACATGAAGCTCGTGGCCATTAGCAATTTCTGGAGCTCTCTGGCTATAGACTCATGTCCTCTCTTCAAGCAATGGGACTCGGGTGGCCCTGTCCCATGTTGGCCTTCACGTCTGGCTCAGCGGGGGGGGGGGCGGGGGGGGTACATTCCAAGAGCTGCTGCACCTGCACTGGGGTAGCCGCTGGTCTTCCAAGCAGCATGGCTAATTTTGGTGGCGGCCGTGGCCATTTCAAAATTGTGGTGATTTTAGGATTGTTGATGACTAGGTCAGTGACCGCATGTGTATTCTCACTGTGGGAAGGACATGTCACCTCCAGTAAGCATCCATGGTGGTTTGCTCCTTGCTCAGTTTCTGTTCAAAGGCCCCTGTCATGACCATATTTTTGAGGAGGGTATGAATATAAAATGTTACTTTCAGTCTTGTTATACATCTCTGTACAAAGCAAATCCAGTCAGTGACGTTGACTTAGAGGGCAGAATATTGCCACCTAGTTAAGAGTAGCTACCTCAAGGGGCCGTTTTTATGTGTGGGGTTTATTGCTCGTTTCCTTGCTTTTCATGGCCTTTTCTATATGTGACTCATTGAATGGAGTAAGAATAGGCCATGCCTGAACTGAGTGGCAATTGAATAGGAGGCTCACAGGCGCAGGCTGGAAGGCTGGGGATAGTTGGGAGGAGCAGATATCAGTAGATCTGTCTCCTAGGAGCCGTCCTTCTGCTGGCTGGCCAGCCACTCTGGTTTCTTTCGAGGCATCAGGGCTCTGAGTGGGACTCTTACAGCCTGGCAGTGCGCCGGGCCCGAGGTTGAGAAGGCTGGGCTGTGTGGTTGGAGCCATTGCTTTGTTTGCAGTGATGGATGGTGATGGCATCTCAGTGGGAAAGCTGTACTTCTCACCAGAGTTAGAGAAAGAGGGACTCCACTGTGCAACTCGAAGACAGGCTGGTGTAGGACATTGCTCATGAGCTAAAGGATAGAGAATGGCTGCTAAGGTGACATAAGAACCGGTGAAGACGTAATGATCCCATCCTCCTCCTCATGAAAAGCTTCGAACTTCAAAGCTCCCCCAGAAGTAGCGGGTGCTCTGCCCTCCGTGGCTCCAAATCGAATTCTCCCTTCCTCCACCAGGTCCGAGCTCCGATGGTGGTGCAGCAGCCCCAGCAGCCACCGGTGCAGCAGCAGACCGCGCCGACAGCTCAGGCCCCCCAGATAGTGGGTTCTGGAGTCCAGGTGAGGGCCGTCAGAGCCAAGGGCCTCTGTAGCTAGCAGGTGCATGTCCCCTTGCGAATGGAGCTGGATTTCCAGCGTTCTGGGGCGAGGGTCCTGGTTGGCTCAGGGCCAGCTCAGTAGAGCATGGGTCTTCTCTTTCCTGGCACTTTGTGACATGATGGCTTTCCTGGAGCCGGCCCCTGGGGCCACGAGGTAGCAGCTCTGCCTGATTATATCTGGTCCCCAGCTGCATAGTGCACGTGCCATTCTCCGCCCCCCCCCCCCCCCCATGGCCTTCATCTCACCCTTCTCCTTCTTAGACCACTCCGTGGCGAGGAGAGTGTTGCAGTCTCATGCTTGCCTCACCTCTGAGTCCGGGCTGGCAGGGGTGGACAGCAGCCCTCTAGAAACTGGGAAGAGCATGGGAAGGGTGGCATCTGGCTCCAGCTGACAGCGCAGGCTTGTGCCGTGGTCCCTGCCAGGCTGACTTCGGGTGGTGACTCCAGTGCTGGGAAGTGTGGCGAGGCCCACACGTTCGCCCTCTGGGTATTGGATATTGATGGGTGGAGGAGGCCTTGCCCCACCTTTTCGTAGGAGAGAGCAGGTGCTTGTTGGCTCCTGGGGGTTGGAAGTTGGCCCTGTGACTTCATGGACACCCTCGCTTTCCCTTATGCTGGTGCTGAGGTAGGGAGACATCCAGTGTGGGGCCTCGGTCCTTCCTGTCTCCACCCAGTGGTAAGAGCACAGTAGTCCAGCTCAGAAGTGCTGGCTTTAGATGGGCAGGCTCACTAGTTGATGCGGTGAGACGACAGCCATTCGGTGCCACACTGCATCCTGCCCCGCTCGTTATCCCGAGTCACAGGGCTGTGTGTCAGCCTCCCGGGTCTCGGTTTTAGTGTCAGGTGACATTTCACTGTGGGAGAGGCTCGGAAACAGTCCCTCCTGGTCCCAGCTGCGTGGCTGGAGTCGTGGGGAGCTGCCTGACTGGAGGAACCTGAGGTGTTTCCATGCAGCTGAGCCAGTCTAGCAGCCTCTGGGGTCACTGCACCAAATGACCTGGGCCCAGAGTTCCCCACGTCGCCAACGTGCCGGGACATGATCTTGTGTGAAACACACAATGGACTTCATATCTGTGGCGGGGCCGGGGCTGGAGTCCGTGTCTGCTGCCCCTGCTGCGTGTCCTGTGCTTGTCCTCGGGCGGCCCAGGCTCCCTCTTCCTGGTGTCTCCTGCAGGGAAGGAGGTGATGCGTGGTTAGAACCACGGCCCAGCCAGTCCACAGAAGCCACTCCCTTGTCACAAAGTGGCCCTCCCTCCTCTGTCCCAGGACCATTTTTAATGGAAACTTCCAGTTCTCGGGTCCAGTCTAGTAGGAAAGGGAGAGGCTTGGCATTTTTCCCCGTGCCCTGGGCCGTTCTGAAGCAGAACTTCTCTCTCCATCCCACTTATCGGATTTTGGGACTGAACTGCCATGGAAACGTTGATGTCTTCCCACTGAGGTCTGGCCCTGTCCTGCTGGCTTATTCCTAGGCTTCTCGCTCAAGGAAGTGCACTCCCTGTCGCTTCCTGGCACCTCAGCCCCTTCCAGAAGCGGGCACAGTTTGTGCTCAGTACCCTGCATGAGCCTGTGTGCAGCGCTGCTTACCCCAGCAGTTACTCTGCCCTTCGCTTCTGCTGGAGGTGCCCGTCCAGCCAGCTCGGGAGCGCGGCTGTGGGCTGGGCCGTGGGCTCAGTCACCTCTAGAATAACCTGGATTTGTCACCTTCTTTCCCTCCAGGTGGAGGCACAAGGCTCTTCTTTTCAGGAGGGGACTGTAGCTGGGGCGGGTGGGGTGTCTGAGTGCTTGTGGGTGGGTGGGTTTCATTAAGAAGGAGGGTCACAGACCAGCTGGGGGGGAGTGGAGGGAGGCCTCATCCCGCGCTGTGTGGCCCGTGGTGGGATTCCCGGAGCTGGCGGCAGAGGACGCGTCTGGAAGCCCAGGTGTGCGAGTGCCTGTTGGTGCCGCGCCTCAGCCCAGACGCAGAGCCTGGGCTGTCCTCTGCCGTCCCCTGGGCTCCTGGCAGGCAGGGCTGTTCTGTGGATCCCAGTGGCTGGCACCTGTGTTCTGGGAGCAGCCGTGTCCCCAGGTGGACCAGCCTTCCTGGGAGAATCTCTGGATTCACAGCCTTCCTTTGCAGCCTGGACAAGACAAGGCTAGAGATACTAGGACCCAGACACGTTTACATATGTGTGGTGACTGTGGAATGTGGGTAGTTAGGGAACTGTAAATAAGGGAAACATTCCAGGCTGGAGGAAACAGTTTGATCTTTTCTTTCCAGCTCTCACATAGTGGAGGTTATAGGATATACATAGGATTTTGTATATTGCTATTACATTGCAATAGAAGTAAATTGTTTTATAATTAAAATATCTCAGTCAACATTATTCTATAGGTAGCGTTCCTTCTATGAATATATCCTGCTGTCCTTATTTATGTCCTGTTCTTGGAGCCTGAGGTTATTTTCAGTTTTTGCTGTTACCAGGGATGCGTGTCTAATGGGTGGCTGGGTGTTAGATTGTTTCCTGATGCTTCCCAGCAGTGAGTCGCTGGGTCACGCTGGTGCCCTGAATTGTATCAGCCAGTCATCTGCCAGCCAGTACTCCAATGCAGTGCCCAGGCGTTTGACATCAGGACATGGTGACCACATGTCGCAGCTTTACATATGTGAACTGCACGCAGGGGAGAGAAGTGCTGAGACTGGGCTTGCGCTGGTAGCCCTCTACGCCTTGTCTCTCAGCTCTGCCCCTCGGCGCAGGAAAGCGGTGCCTCGTGCTGTGGCCTGATGAGTGGCCGGGGCCCACCCGGGGCTGAGTTTGGTGTGTGGTGTATGGGAATTGGTGTGCCTGTTACGTATATGCGTTGTTCTCGTATCTAATGTTACGTGTGTACATGAGCAAGTTGATGTCATTGTCACTACAGTGGGACTTATTAGGTTACTCACAGTAGCTGCACTAACTTCTGACTCTTTTATAAAAGTTATCTGTGACTGCAGATAAAACCAGAATAGAACGTGTCTCCATTTCCAAGCAGTCCCTGTGTTTCTACCTTTCCGGGTTCTATTTTTTGGCATATGGTAACTCAATTTTAAATTTTAAAAATCTTCGTTGCAAGTATTACATAGTCCTTTTTCCCTCCTTCACCTCTCCCAGCCTCCCCCATCCTCCCCCTGGCCCTCTCCACCCCATTGTGTGTCCATGGGTTCTGCATATATGCATACGAGTTAATTCCACTCCCCCCTCCCCTGCCTTTCCCCTGAGTTCAACACTCTTAATTATAACTTTCAAGTTACAAAAGAAATATCATCAAAGATACTTCCCTTTCCTGGCCAGTTTTTCTCAGAGGATAGGACATCGGCCTGGACCGAAGGATCCCAGGTTTGATTTTGGTCAAGGGCACGTACCTTGGTTGCAGGCTTGATCCCTGACCCCACTTGGGACAGGTGCGGGAGGCAACCAATTGATGTGTCCCTCACATTGATGTTTCTCTCTGTCTCTCCCTTCTCTTCCACTCTCTCTAAAAATCAATGGAAAAAATATTCTCGGGTGAAGATTAGAAAAAAAAGATATTTCCCTGATGTGCCTCCCTGTATGGACGCTCTCTGTCCTCCTTCCAGGCCCCCCTGCCCAGTGACCCTGGAGGAGCCAGGCCCGCAGCCCTGAGGATGGAGCTTGGATTCCTTTCTGGGTGGCTGTGTGTTGGGAGGGAAAGAAATGTAGTCACGCAGGAGAATGGGAGAATGAGTAGCTGAGTGTTTGCTGCCTGGGTCATCTGATCTAGTAAACACTACTGCTGTGTTTTCATTAGAATTTGTGGTTAAAAGAAAATGTGCTTTTCCTCCCAGGATTTCTCAATTACAAGAAAACCAGTCAGCAGCAAATTAGATTTAAGCATTCATTCCTTACTACTTTTGTTTCTTCATGGAAAAAAAATTGCAACTCTTTTGGGCCTCCTGACTGACTTCCAGATCTTTCTCCCTCTGGAAAGAGCACTTTTTAGTGGCCACTGGCCCTGACATGCAATGCATTGGTGGTTGGAAATGGACACTGTTTACTGTCACCCCCATCTGCCCGTGGGCTGAGAGCCGAACCCAGGAGACAGCTGCTTTTGGCCTCCCCATGACTCTTTGGCTAAGAGTCATGTTTCCCCGAGGCTCCCTGTCCTCACACTTTCCCCAGCGTCCCATTTTGTGTCTAAACTGGGCGGCGAGTGGTGGGCTCTTCAGGACACCGGAATGCCTTCCTCGTCTCCCTCCCCCAACATCTTGGTTGGGGTGGCTGCAGGCATGTCTTCTCCCAGCCTGTGTGAGGGCCGCCATTCCCATCGCCATGGGAAGGTTCAGGTTGGAATCTGCTGCGGCCTGTGTCACCTCTAGCTTGCGGTGCCTGCTGCGTGTGACCCGTGACTGTGGGTGTGGAACACAATTGTGAGGCCAGAGACACCCCCCCAGCCCTTTGCCCTGCCTCTGAGCGCCGTCCCGGCACCGCCTCACCAGGTGGACGGAGTCGCCATCAGTGCCGCTTCGCTTCAGTCTCCGGACTGGCTCACACCCTCGCGGGACAGACGCTTTGTTTCCCATGGACCATCCCTCTTCCTTTCCTTTCTGAGGGCTGAGTTGGTTGCACCTGAAAAGTTGTGAGTGCATACAGGCCTGTTCTCCATCCCCAGCCCCGAGCCCAGAGTGAGAGTGACCAGGCCTCAGGAGCCTGGTTCCTGACAGTGCAGGCCAGGCCTGGGCCCACCACAGTGCTGCCCTGATGTTCTCAGAAGTATCAGTTGGTGAGGAGAGTGGTCCCAGGGCAGGCTGGAATTCTGGAATTTGGAGTCATCTTGTATGTATAGGGATAGACCTGACCCACGTCCCTGGGGGAGGCATACCTCCTTGAGAGCGCGAGGCTTTAAGCGAAGTCCCAGCTTCCCTTGCCCGCCTCTCCCCGGTTCCAGTTAAAACTGGTTCCCTGGTAGAGACTGAGCCGCCCGGAGGAGAGGGCAGTGAGTGCAGGCCCTGGGGGCGGTTTCACAGGTGGCACCCTATTGGGAAGGATGGGTGAGCCGCTTTCCTGTCCTCTTCCTCCGTCGTAATGGCAGCCGGCTGCTGACCGGCTTTGTGGAGGGTGCTCTTCCGGAGTCTGTCCCAGGAGCTCGGTCTCCTAAAAGCGCCACCTTTGGCCATTGAGGTCTGGCCTTGAAGGCTCCGTGGGCGCATCAGCAGATGAGAGGCTTGTGGAAGGGCGCGTCCAACAGAACAGAAGGTCTGGAGGCAGCATTCTTGGCGGCTCCTCTAGATTCCTGATGCCTGGATGGGCCTCCGTGCCGTGGGCTTGAACGCGGAGGCCGGCCTGCCCCAGCCCCTGCAGGCCCTCCTCCGTGCCAGACACACGGAGCTACTTGTCCTGGAGGCCGCACATCCCTCTCCGCCTTCCCCTGCGCTGCGTGTCTCTGTTGCGATCACCTTGTCTGTTGTCCCTCTGTCCTCAAGATGATCGCCGAAGCCTTGGCCCAAGGCGGGATGCAAGTAAGAGCCCGGTTCCCGCCCACCACTGCTGTGTCTGCCGTCCAGCCAAGCTCCATCCCTTTGGGCAGAGAGCCCTCGGCACAGGTATTTACGGGGCGGCGCCCAGGGCTCCTGGGAAGCTTGGGGCCCTCTGAGCGCCGTGGTGAGACACCCTGTAATCTCTGTGGCTTCCTTCACAGTGGCTCTCAGAGTACCTAACCAAGCTTACATGAGGCCAAACCCGGCTTGTTTCTTGAGGGGATGTGAGTAAATATCTGGGCTTATTTTTATTTTAATATTTTGGATAATTCTGATGTTTTCATTTTCTAGAGAATGTGGGAGTAGAATATCTGTAAAAATGTTAGTGTTGCCCTAGCTGGTGTTGCTCAGTGGGTAGTGTTGGCTTGTGGACTGAAGGGTCCCGGGTTTGGTTCCAGTCAAAGGCCATGCCTGGATTGTGGGCTCGATCCTCCATTAGGGGGCGTGCAGGAGGCAGCGATCATCAATTCTCTCTCCTCATTGATGTTTCTTTCTCTCCCTCTTCTTTCCTCTCAGAAATCAATAAAAATATATTTTTTTAAATGTTAGTGTTGCCCACCCAGTGTCTCAGTAGTTGAGCGTCAACCTATGAAGCAGGAGATCATGGTTCAGTTTCCAGTCAGAGCACATGCCCAGGTTATAGGCTTGATCCCTAATGGGGGGCTTGTAGGAGGCAGCCAATCAATGATTTTCTCTCATCATTGATGTTTCCATTTCTCTCTCCCTCTCCCTTCCTCTCTGAAATCAATAAAAATAGATTAAAAAATGTTAGTGTTTTAGCCTTGGCAGTGTGGCTCACCCCATGCACTGAGAGGTCACCAGTTCGATTCCTGGTTTTGGGCTCCCCAGTAGGGGGCATGCAGAAGGTAGCTGATTGATGTTTCTCTCTCCTTCTCCCTTCCTTTCTCTCTAAAATCAATAAAAACATTGTTTTTTAAGTTAGTGTCTTAGATAGTTATGTCGTTGTCATTTTCATGGTAAAATAAAACAGAAGCTAAGCAAGTAGTTTGGCTTCCTGGGGCTGTGCTGTCTCCTGCGGTAATAGCTATTAGCCATACGTAGCTATTTACATGTAAACTAATTAAGTTGAATAAAACTAAAAATTGAGTTCCTCAAGTTACAGTCAGTTGAAGTTTAATTACATTTCAAGGGCCCAGCGGCCCCATGGGGAAGTCAGTGACGTCATACTGGACTCCACAGGCCATCAGACTCGCCAGTCCTGGAAGCTAAAAGCCGTCAGACCGAGCTGCTGCAGGGTCTGCTGTGTAGGGCATCAGGCCGGCCTGCCCCAGCCCCTGCAGGCCCTCCTCCTGTCACACACACACACACCTCTTTCTAGGAAGCTAGAAGCTTCTGTGTGCATTACATGTGCTCAGGGATACACTTTTCTGGCTCTCATGTGATAGGAAGTTTGGAATTCTTCTACGGCATATTTGTTTAACAAATAGCCATGTACATTCCACCCCCGGCCACCGGCACGGAGCCCACAGCAGGATGTGCTTCAGCATCTGGAGTGCCTCTGGTTTTGTTAACCTTTGGCAACAAATTGGGTTCAAGAAAGCGCAGATTAGAATGGCAGATCTTTTATCAGTCTTTCTTGAGCCGAGGCTCCAGCGTCTCTGCCTCCTCCACCCCGTCCCCTGGCTGCATCTTCCTGTTGTGCTGCGTGCGGACGCTTCAGGGACATGGATGGGCGTAGCCAAGCCTAAGTCTGTGCCAGACACATGGAGGACACAGTGCCCCCACCGTGGACTCCCATCTCCGCACTCCCTTGGTGGGCGTAAGCAGGTGGCTCCACAAAGGGACTCTAGAGAGCGACTCTGGGGACACATCCCATGCAGGAGCCCAGTAACACGGGGCAGCCCCAGGGATGTCCAGTGGATGCGGGTGGTTCCAAGAAGGCTGAGGGCGTGGTGCTGCCAGTCTCCCCTGAGGTTTCTTTGCAGCACGAGGCTCCCCGCCCCACCTCGCTGCCCTCCGGCCCCGCCGCCCGCCTCTGGTTTCTTGCCCTTTGCCTGCTGTGTGCATCCACCCGGCCTTCCCTCCTGCTGCTCAGGCCCCTTTCCCCTGGTCCTGCTCCCCCCGGGAAGCAGACGGCGCTGAGGGGCTCGGGCTCCCCTGCTAGACGTGGGGCCTTGAGTAGGTCACTTCCACCTGAGCTTTCACTTCCTGTGAGTGACGTGCACGTGATGGGGCGGCAGCATCCTATGGCTTTGCCAGTGGCTGTGATGGACATGCCCATGTTTGTGGCAGAATGTGCCAGAAGAGAAGGATTCAGAGCTGGACTGCACTTCGCCCCTCTGAGCGCGGCCCAGACTGAGGCAGCACAGGCAGCTGTCCTGGTCTCCTCTGTCCTAGAGGCCTGAGGACCGGGGCTCACTGTCCTGTTAGCTGCCTCGCTAGACCAGCTTTTTCTTGACACGGGCCTCCGAGTGGCTGCTTCCCGTCTCAGGTGTGTGGTTGGCGACTCAGGATTCAGGGTCCTGAGAGCCGTGGGCCTCCCAGCAGAGGCCGGAGGGGCATCCTGAAGGCCTCCGAGGGGAGTGTTGGCTGCCAGCAGGAGGTGTGCGTTTTCCCAGAGGAGCTGTCAATGCAGAGATGGGGTGTCGGAGGCCAAGGGTTTCCCTTAGCAGCCTTAGAGTCTGACTAAGGGGCCAGAGGAGCCAGAGCCGGGGCTGGACATGAGAGGGGGCTGGAGGAGAGGGGAGCCACTGAGCTCACGCCCAGCTCCTGGGGCCGTTCTTCACGGGTCTCAGACCCTCGGTCAGGTGCTGGGGGAGCTGTGTGTGTCAGAGGCTCCGCGGAACCCAAAGCAGAGGATGTGAGCACCGTTTCCCACGCTCTGAGTGCTGGAGGTGCCTCTTAAGAGCAAAAGCAGGTTGACAGTTCATAGGAAAAACAACACAATAAATAATAATACAAAATAAGCGGTTTTGTGTACTCACAACTGTAAACCTACTTTTGCCCCGTTCTGTACAATTTCAGACATTAGGCGGGAAGTGGCCTGTGAAGTGGCCTCATTCCCTTCAGAGCAGCACTAGCTTTAGGCAGCAGACAGAAGCCGAACGCCGTCTAGAGGGACAGCTGCTGGCAGAGGCGGGAGCACCGGGGCAGGTGGGGCGCCTGCCGGGCCAGGGGCTCAGGTTTGACCTGTGGCAGGAAGAGGGGGAGGAGGATGCCCTCAGGGACTTTCAGACAGGGGGTGGCGGCAGGCTGGTCAGGGAAAGGTGGGGGCTCAGGGGGCAGGTGGGAAGCGGCCTTCCCAGGGAGGGGGCCAGACCTTGGCACCATATGTGGTTCTCTGAATGGACTTTCCTGAGGCGACCTCACCTTCCTCGTCCTGGGAGTTCGTTGGCACCTGAGTAGATTCTAGAGCATATTTTCTAGTGCAGGCCTCGGACTCAGTGCATCCAGGCAGTGAGGGCGAGTCCTACGTGGGGTGGGGGTGGGAGTGGAGATGGGGGTGCGGATGGGGTGGGGGTGGGGGACTAAGCTGCTCCAGGCCCTGTTTGTGCCCCTGCTGATGTCAACATGAAGCACCTGGAACCACGTTGCTCCCCTCAAGCTCCCTCACTTCAGTCCCTCCACTTGCGGCTTGAGTTTGTGCCTCTGACCCAGCCGTGTCGGAAGTGCTGGGATGTGGCCTCTGTGCCCCTGCAGCTCCGTCCCACACGCGGTGGGTGGGGAGGAGCCAGAGCAGAGCAGAGGCCATTCTCTCCCGGGGCTTGTTCCCGGCAGCCTGGTGGGGTAGGGGGCGAGGGGAGGTGGCATCCTGTGTTCCTGGTGGGTCTGGGCTCTTTCAAACGTCCCTTCCTGCTCCCTGACAGGAGGATGGAATGCAGCGGCCACTCCGAGCGACCCAGCCCCGCACTCCGATGCCGGGTGCAGGAGTGTGGGAAAGGGCAGGCGGTCTGAGGACTGGCTGATGGCTCAGGAGGCGGGTGTGGGCTGGGCTATGCAGAGCGGGCTCTGAGGTGGTGCTAGGAGTGCAGGAGGCTGACAGGCTGTGGGAGAAGTCACTGCCAGCCCTCCGGAGTGCTCGGGCTGGCAGGGCCTTACGGTGATCCCGCCGTGTGGAGGGGCTGGGCCATTGTGCCCCCATCATCAGCACTGGGCGAGGCAGCTTCTTCAGGGCTTATTCCAGGAGAGGCCAGTTACCGGGGCTGGCGGGAGGCGTCTCCACAGCTGTCCTCACCGCCTGGAACTGCCATCCTGACCTTCGCTGTGGAGAGTGGCTGCTTCACACATCCTTGTCCCAGAGTCCTAGGGCTGTGGCTCCTCCTGTGGAGGTCACAGGGGACCGGGCAGTTCCCCGGTGAGGACAGCGTGCGCTGACTGTTGTGTCTCCTCAATGAGGACGCAGGCAGTAGGGTGAGCCCTGCTCCGCACACAAGGCAGCAGCTTCTGGGAATGACGCTGAGCCCCTCCCGTGACAGTGGGACCTGCAGGTCCAGGCCCAGAGCCCAGGTGAGGCATGCTGGTGAGGGCTGGCCTGAGCGGGTTTGCAGAGGAGAGGCCTCCCCTGGCCTCCGCTCCACAGTCTCCCTCACGGAGGCAGGCCCCAGGCATGCTGGGCTCAGCGCGAAGGCCCGTTCTCCAGGGCTCTCCCCACGGAGCAAGGGCCGCCCGGCCAGGGCTTGGTCACCGGGGGTTTGTGCCCGAGAGGTGGGCACGTGCATGTTGGTATGTGAGAAGCAGGGCATCAGAGAAAGACAAGGGTGTGCAGTGAGGCTGTGAGAGACAGAAGGGGCTGTGCGTGCAGCCACGTGGGGTCCCCAGTCTGAGCGGTGGCAACGAGGGGACAGTGGGAGTGAGCGTGGCAGGCGAGCAGGCTGAGCCCCCTCCACTTCCAGGTCAGCCAGAACAGCCTCACCATGCTGTCCTCGCCGTCGCCGGGCCAGCAGGTGCAGACCCCGCAGTCGATGCCCCCTCCCCCACAGCCGTCCCCGCAGCCCGGCCAGCCCAGCTCTCAGCCCAACTCCAACGTCAGGTAGGCCTGGCCAGGGCGCCCCTCCCTGCCTGGCTCCCGGGGAGGCCCCGCTGGTGCCCGCAGCTCACAGACACGCTCCCTTTCCCTTTGCTGCAGCTCCGGCCCTGCCCCATCCCCCAGTAGCTTCCTGCCCAGCCCCTCACCACAGCCCTCCCAGAGTCCAGTGACAGCGCGCACCCCGCAGAACTTCAGTGTCCCCTCCCCGGGACCTTTAAACACCCCTGGTAAGTCGGGTTGGGGGTGGGCATAGCCCGAGACCCAGGGCCAGTCGTGGCACCCGCATTAGCCCTGGGGGCTGGGATGCTGAGGGCAGCCCCTCACCCTCATGAGGCCTCGCTTGAAAGCGGGGGGCAAACCCGAGCCCCTTGGGCCCCGAGCACCCCACCTCGAGGGTTCGCAGAGTCGGGCCTGCGGGCTGGCCGGGCTCACGGGCTTCTGTCCCGCAGTGAACCCCAGCTCAGTCATGAGCCCGGCGGGCTCCAGCCAGGCCGAGGAGCAGCAGTACCTGGACAAGCTGAAGCAGCTGTCCAAGTACATCGAGCCCCTCCGCCGCATGATCAACAAGATCGACAAGAACGAAGGTGAGGGGGCCTGCCCGGGGGGGGGGGGGGGGGGCCGGCTCCCAGGCTGTGTCTTACTGTCCCCTCTTCTGCTCCAGACAGGAAGAAGGACCTGAGTAAGATGAAGAGCCTCCTGGACATCCTGACTGACCCCTCCAAGAGGTGAGCATGTCCTCAGGCCCCCGGGAGGTCATGGGGGACCCCAGGCTGCTGCTTGGCCAGGCCAGGACCACGCAGAGTTCAGAGGCTCTAAGCCCCTGCCCCACCTTCGCCAGCTGTGGGCCAGCCCAGCTCACAGCCCCACTCCAGCGCCATCTTCTGGGGCCTCGTAAGACGGAGCCTTAAGAAGCGCCGGGAGGCGTGGCGTGCCAGGTCCTCACCACAGCGCCAGAGGCCTGGCCTTCAGGTTACTTCCCTCGGCTCAGACTGTGTCTCCCTCCTGGTTTGCTTCTCGGGGCAGAGAGCTAGACACTGCAGGGCTGGCCTGTTAGAGTGGGAAGGCCCAAGGCCTTCTTGGTTTGACCTCATTTGGGCCCTGGCCTGCCTGGGCCTTGTTCTGCTGATCAGGACCGAGCAGCTCCTGGGGTGGGACCACGGGCCTTAGGCTCTGGGTTCCTGTGGACGGTTCCAGCAGCAAGGCTCCCGGTCTGACGTCAGGGGAGGGCAGATGTGTGTGGCTGGGACTAGCACACGAGAGCTACCGGTTCGCCCCCTCTAGCACAGAGGGTCACCACGTACCCCTTCCCCACAGGTGCCCCCTGAAAACTCTGCAGAAGTGTGAGATTGCCCTGGAGAAACTCAAGAATGACATGGCGGTGGTGAGTGGGGGCTGTGTCTGGTGAGGTTCTGAAGGCAGCGGGGATGTCAGGGCGCCTGACAGCGACTCGGAACCACAGGCTGAGAGCGGCCCTCACTGTCCAGGGTGGGCAGAGGGGGCTCACAGCTCAGCCTGGGCACTTGCTGGGGGTTTTCTTCCAGGTAGGTCTGCTGTGGGTGGCGGGGAGGTGGGAGAAATTGCCCTCCAGCTGTGACCTGTGGGTGCTTCCTCCAACCCCAAGCTGTGGGTTTTCCTTTAAGCTGCCTCCACTTGCCAAGCAATAGGCCAGGCCCTGGTGGGAGGGGACTCGGGAGAATGTGTCCAGGATTGGCCATCTCTGTCTGCAGGGGGTGGAGGGGATGGGGGGCCTCGGGAGTCTGGCTGTAAGTAAGGATGAGGGCCCTGGACTCAGGAGAGCCTTCCCACCCTTCCTGTTCCAGCCCACGCCCCCGCCACCCCCGGTGCCACCAACCAAGCAGCAGTACCTGTGCCAGCCGCTCCTGGACGCCGTCCTGGCCAACATCCGCTCGCCCGTCTTCAACCATTCCCTGTACCGCACGTTCGTGCCAGCCATGACGGCCATCCATGGCCCGCCCATCACGTATGTACAGCCCGGGGCTTAGCCTTGAGGTGGGCGCAGGGGGGACCCCGGGCCACAGCCTCGCCCGGTGTGGTCACCACGATCGCCTCCCCCAGGGCCCCGGTGGTGTGCGCCCGGAAGCGGAAGCTTGAAGAGGACGAGCGGCAGAGCATCCCCAACGTGCTCCAGGGGGAGGTGGCCAGATTAGACCCCAAGTTCCTGGTGAACTTGGACCCCTCTCACTGCAGTAACAACGGCACCGTCCACCTGATATGCAAGCTGGGTGAGCACCGGGGAGGGCGGCTCCCCCGTTTCTCCGGGCCACGGGGGTGCTACCAACTCAGCGCCAGGCTTCGCCTCAGGACTGGCCCAACCGCCTGTGCACTGTGCTCAGCCTCCTGCAGACACCCAGGCGCCCAGCACAGCCCAGGCCCACAGGGGCCTGCCTGCGTGGTCTTCCTTGGTCCTTACACGCCTGGCCCAGGACATCTTCCGAGGGCTGGACCGTGTGCCGGGGAAGTCCAGCCCCCTGTCCAGGGCCAGCTCTGGAGCCCGTGTCCCCCAGCTTTGCAGTCCCCAGAAGCAGGGCTGGGCGCAGGGCGAGCGGGAATAGGCACGGCCTCTTGTGTTGCAGATGACAAGGACCTCCCGAGCGTGCCGCCGCTGGAGCTCAGTGTGCCCGCCGACTACCCCGCCCAGAGCCCGCTGTGGATCGACCGGCAGTGGCAGTACGGTGGGTGAGCCGAGAGGACGGCGGTGAGGGGTCTCTGCCTGCGACTCAGGGCAGGCAGCGTCAGCTCTGAGCAACCAGGGTTTCCTCCATGAGCCTCCCAGGCGGAGTCCCGCCCTCTCCTCCTCGGCTCCCCTTTGTGAAGAGCAGGTTGCACAGCAGCCACTGGAGAAAGAAGGGTCTCTACCCCCATTGTGTCCCTTTGTCCTGCAGCTTCAGGGCATCGTGTCCAATAGTGAGAGTGAGCGGCCCTCTCAGACAGAGGCCCTGTGAGGGCTGAGGCCTGGCACACATGGGACCAGGCCCAGGGCCCTGAGGCTGTCCCTGAGGGAAAGCCCTGGGCTCCAGGTCCATTCAGGTTGCAGTTCTCCAGTGACAGGGCCTGGGAGAGCCTGGCAGCCCCCAGCGGTGCTGGGTGATGGCATCCCAGGTGGCCGTGGCTGAGCGGTGCCCCAGACGCCAGCCCTGTGCCTTTAGGGCGGGTCCCATCCAGGAGTTGCACAGTGAGTGCCGCTTGTCCTGGAGGAGGGCACAGCGCTCAGACCCCCTGCTCTGTTGCAGACGCCAACCCCTTCCTGCAGTCGGTGCACCGATGCATGACCTCCAGGCTGCTGCAGCTTCCCGACAAGCACTCAGTGACAGCCCTGCTCAACACCTGGGCGGAGAGCATCCACCAGGCCTGCCTCTCGGCCGCCTAGCAGCTGCCAGCCCACCAGGGACCACGGGTCAGCTGGCAGCCTCGTTGGGGCCACAGACACACACCTTGTGTCGGACCTTTCTAGGTGTTGGCTCCCCTAGAGAGCCTGGGCTTAGGTTAGCTTTCCTGCTTTTATCTTCCGCCTTGGGGACCCACCGAGCGGTTCCCCACACTTGAACCGGACTGGGCCGGGCTCTGGAGTCCTCTGAGGCAGGAGCGGCAGACGCCCCGGGTCTGCGCTCCTCGGGCTGCTGTCCCTTTGGCACCTGCAGGACCCTGTCCTCCGACTCCCGGGGAGAAGTCAGGGCCTTTACAGCCCCTTGTGTGTGTGCCAGAAAACACTCTACCCGTTTCTGTAGGAAATCCTTAAGACACACCGAATCCTCTGCTCAGTGTTGGGTTCATACGGGGCCTGCCGCTGGGAGGCCCCCCACCCAGGGGCGCCAGTGTCTCTCAGGAGGAAGTCTGGCCTGTGGATGGTTGCAAGTCGCCACTGCCAGCTAGCTGGACCTCACACCTCACGGCATGCTCCCTTCAAGCCCTGGGCCCGCTCAGCTCGGGGGGTCCTGGGGAGCAGAGGATTCTGGGGGAACCGTGTCCCTGGCACCATGTGCACTAGCTGGGCTCACTTTGGGGCCAGGGTGCCATCCTCTGGACCTGGTATCCTCAGAGCCACTCCAGAGAGGGAGCATCAGCCAGCCTCTGGTGTCAGAGGTTCCCTCTTTTGTATGTGCACTACTCTATCTTCTGTGGTTCTTATAATAAATTTATTATTCCTGTGTTCGTCATGAATGTGTCGCTGTGCCCCACCCCTGTGAGTCCAGAGCCTGCTCTTCAGTGGGGGGTGTTGTCAGGGCTGAGCCAGGTCCCCCACCTTGGAGATGGCCCTCATCTGACTGTCGATGCCTCATCCTGGTTCACCTCCAGGTGTCTGGAAGCTGGAAGAGGCAGAGGTTAGCCTGAGGAACCCAGGAGACGTAAGAGGAAGCTGCTGTTCTGGCGACTGAGGGGTGATGCGAGGCCCTCACAGGGTGGGGACATCACGGGTTAGGGCCCAGCACCCTGCAGAGGACCATTCTCCTGGGGCCTTGACCGTGGCCTCCAGAGGGGGCCGCTGGGCTCAGCAGTGTGGCTCGTGGCTGGTGTCAGTGTGGACACAGATGTCGCTGAGGTAGGTGGACATTGTCTTGTCCTGAGGATGTCTGGTCAAGAGAAGACCGAGTGCTGTGCCCGGAGGGCAGCCCAGGCAGGAAGGGCCCTGAGTCCCGTAAGGGGGTGCACATAAGCTTGTTTCCAGGGCGCTGGCTGCAGCGCCCTCTCCCCACCCCCATTTCAGGGCGCAGAGCTGGGGCCTCGCGGGGCAGCAGCGCCTGGCAGCCAGCGAGGGACTAGACTCAGGCCTGGGAGAAACAAGGTTTATTCTTCAACAGGTGAAGTAATACTTTAACACTTTCTTGTGTAAATGCAGGATAGCAAAATGCTGAGCAAGAAAATAAACATTTTCAGTTCTCAGACCAAGGACTTTATGTGCCGTGAGTTTGGTTCATGTGGAGTTTTTTGGGAATGCTGCCTAGAGAGGGTGTGTCCCCAGCTGTGACCTGGGCCTGGCCGGGACCTCCGTGCGCACTGCTCGGGCGGCGCTCAGAGCACCGAGCGGTGCAGCCGCCGGTTCTGCACCACCTGCAGCCTCTTCTGCCGCTCGGCGAAGTTATTCTTCAGGGTCTGCTTCAGGGCGGGCAGGATGGCGCGCTCCGACACGGGAATGGGGCTCAGGATCAGGCTGGCAGGGGCAGAGGGCAGGGCGGGCAGCGGAGCCAGGGCTTCCTTTCTGCTGTGCCCCGCCCCTTCCTCCTCGCAGGTGCCCCACCCGCTGTGCGCCCCCGGACTCACCATTTCCTAGAGACACCCTTGCTGGCCACCTTGGGGAGCTGCGCAGCCTCCTGGTCGCTGGGGAAGGAGGGAGCAGTGAGCCCTGCACAGCCAAGGCCCCTGCTGAGTGGGGGCAAGAGCCCCACCGGGCACTCACTGAGAACTCGGGTCAGCCTCAGGGCCAGCCTGGGATGGCCTCTGGGTCCTTTCCAGGAGAGACTTGAGGTGCTGCAGCTGGAAGACGGGAGGAGGCGTGGTGGCCGGGGCTGCAGAGCCGCCAGGGCTGCGCCCCAGCCCCGAGCCTCACCTCTTGGGCCTGCAGGAGGTTGGCGTTCCACAGCTGGCGGATGACCACCTCACACTGCTGGAGCGAGCTGGGTTTGCGCAAGTGGGGGGGCAGGTTCATCAGGCGGGGCGCCCCCGTCACCTGCTTGCTCTTGTGCTGGCTGCCTGCCCCCGAGATGGCCTCTGAATTCAAAGTCTCCACTTCTTCTCTGAAACGGTCAGTGCAGCAGCCCAGAGGTGGCCTGCCTCACCAGCTCTTGGGGCAGCGGCCTGGCTGCCTTCTGCTGACCAGGGTGCAGTGGTGGGGGGGGGCGGTCTCTGGGGCCAGGGATTTGGGCCCATCTCTTCCTCCCCTCACAAGGTGCACATGCGTGGTTCAAGCTGTCCTGGCCCCAAACTTGGTAGGACTGATCAGGAGGGAATCTAAGGACTGTGCAGAGAGAAGCAGGAGCCTGTCCTGCTGGCTGTACTCCTTGGGGGACAATGGGGTCCCTTTTCTGGTGCCAAGGACAGACTCCCTGCTGCTTCCTAGGGAAGTTCCAAAACCTGGGTGTCCTGCTGACTGTGCCTTCCAATGGCCAAGTGAGCTTCCCAGGTGGAGCCTGCCAACCTGACTCTCTGCCTGGTGAAAGGCAAGCTTGTTTGGAGGCCAAATTCTTTTGAGAAAATGGTTAGGGCTGCTGCTGGCCCCTCCTGTGGGCTCAGGTCAGCACAGGGGCCCTGTAGGACCCCCAGCTTAGTTCATGCTGGAGGCCAGCCCATTGGGAAGGCAAAGCAATGGGCTGGTTCCAGGTTGTGGACCTCCTGAACGCCTTACTTGGAGGGCCTCTGTGCCCCGGCGGCTTTGTCCAGCTTGCTGCCGTGAAGCTGGGGAGCAGCTGGAGTCTTCTCTTCCAGGTCCGTCTTCTGGGGACCGTCAGGTTTCGAGTCTTGCTTCTTGGAGTTGAGCCTGGCCTTGTTTTGAGAGGCCGCTGCGGGTCAGACCCAGACGGGGCCAGTTACTGCGGGCATCGAGCATTTGTGCCCAAGGCCTCCAGGGTCGGCTGTGTGTGTGCCCAAGGAGCCCCCGCCCCCTGCCTCAGTTTCCTCCTGGAAGGGTAGATGGTAGCAGAGCCTCCTGCTGGAAAACAGGAAGGAGGATCTGAGGATGAAGCCTGTGGGCGGAGCCTCCTGAGTGCTCTGACAACTGGGACAGGGCCAGTCTCCCGGCTTCCAAAACTGCCGCGGCTGGGGTGGCCCTGCCGCTGTCCCCTGACTAAAGCAGAACCCCATTTGGGACAAAACGAAACTGGATGAGAGGGCCCAGTCCAGCCGCACAGATTTACTTTCCCAGAACAAGACCCACGGGCTGCCTGGTTCCTACTGAGAGCTGGGCCGCTCCCGACAAGCAGGTCTGGCCTCTCGGAGGCGGTGTGGGGAGGAGGCTCTCCGTGCTGCAAAGGATGCCGGGCCCTCGGACCTGCATCCTGCCTGCTCTGCGGGATGCTACAGCGAGCAGCCTGCTCCCCTCGTCCCTGGGAGACCCCACAGCGAGGCTGTCAGTGAGTCTGCCCACACCCGCTCCCAGGGGGCTGCGGTGGGACCTGTGCGCCTCGTTGACATCTGTTTCTGCAGCCTCCCTTCCCCTGGCTGACCCACAGCCCGCCCCGCCCACCTCAGCTCACCTTCTGGTGGCTTCAGCTCACCACACCCTCCTTGGCTCCCTTTAGCTGCCCCTTAACCCTCCAGTCCGTGGGGCCTGGCAAAGGCACCATCTCCCCACCCCCAGGGCTGCCTCACCGTGGGCACTTGCCCTCCCCCAGGCGCACGGAGGTGCTGGCAGGCTCACCTGCCGTCACTGAGGATGGGATCGGCTTTGTGGGCTGAAAGCTGGAGTTGGTGATGCTGCCTGTGGACAAACAGGCAGGGCTCAACCCACGATGGCAGCAATTATGTTCCACTCTCCCCAGCAGCTTCTGCACAGCAAGAAGCCGGCCCTCCTGCGCCCACCTCCCGGCCTTGCAGGCCCTGGGCCCAGGCATCATGCAGAGCCCTCCCCGATGCTCTGGAGGCAGCCCCAGATCTAGCCGGTGCCTGAGGGAGCCAAGGCCACAAAGAAGGGGGCTTGGGGCCTTAGAAGCAGGCAGGTCCTGAAGGCATATAACCCCCCCTGCTGTCCCTTCAGGTACCGCGCCCCCCTCCCAAAAAAAAACACACACACTGCAGGCCTGGGGCCCCTAAATGGGCGTCACTGTGTGTCTGGGACAGTTCACTGGAGCTGCACTGCCCCACTAAAGTCGGGCCCCCATGTCTCATTCTCTGTGTGTCCCAGGAAGAAAGCCTTGGCAGGCACCCCCAGACTGGAGCACTCAAGGCTGGCACCACTCATCACCACTCAGTGTCAGGCCTGGCCCCAAATGTTAGGGGGGAGAACAAGCCCAAAGCCACAGAACTGGGCTCGGCTCCCCGGCATTTCAGAGGGACACAGGAGTAGGCCGGAGCAGCAGCCAAGTGAAAGAGCTCACCGAGGCAGTGAGGCTGGGGAAGGCAGGGGCGGGCCTGGGCACCCCCACTGGCAGCTCTGCCCACTGACCCTACTGTTCAGACCTCAGGCCTTGGGCTCCCTGAGAGTGGCACCTTCTGTGCTTGTCACCCAGACCACGGCTGGGTGCAGTGGTGTCTGTCTGCCCAGATCCTCCAGGACCCCTCACCACTGGGACAGTGCATGGGCCCCCGCAGCTGGGTGGGCACGGGCAGTCTAGAGGGGCTGCTCTTGGCAGTGGTGACTTCCCCTCAGGCACTGTAGGCCTCAGCCTTACCTCTCCTATGTGACTTCTGGTTCATTATTAGCTTGTAATGGAGATCTGGAAGCAAGCACATGTTCTCGTCATTTCCACAGCCGTAGCCATTTGAGAGACGCTTGGTTTGCCCTGCCCACCCTCTCTCCGCCGAGTCCCCAGGGGCCTCAGGGACCCTGCCCCGGGACCAAGCCTTTGCCTTGGGCACCTTAGGGTGGGAATGCCTCTGGCTGCTCCCTGAGCCAAACCCCAAATCCCACCCTTCATCCATGACGTCTACAGGCACCCTCTGCCGGGAGGTTGCGGGGGGCTTGGTTCCCAGGGTAGAGGGATGAGTCTAGGAGGCCCTGGCCATGGATGAGCAGATGTAGTCAGTGCTGCAACCAAGTGCCCAAGACACCGCTGATATCAGGGAGGGATGGGGGTGAGACGCAGGAAGACGAGGAGAGCTAAGGTGTGAGGAAGGCCAGAGAGAGGGGCGGGGTCCCATGGTGGAGGCCTCAAGTTCTGCTTCAGGCCTAGCCCAGGGGGCGAGGAGCCTCGAGGGGTGTGAAACTAGGAAGTGGGCCTGCCCTGAGGAGACACAAGGGCACAGGGTCCCAGATGTCTGGGGAGAGGCGGGATGGAGTCAGAGATCCTTCTGGGCCAACATGTCTGCCCTTGAGCTGGGTGTGCTTAGTGTGTGCAAGTTCACTGAGCTACTCTTGAGGGTATGTTTTACTTCTCTAAAGAGTTAAAATGGGGTGGGCCTGGCCCTGCCGGCAGAAAAGAGGGCTGACCCGGTGACTGTGGGAAATGATGCAGCCAGACCCGCCCGGACCAGGAGGCCACCTTTTGGGAAGACCCATAGCTGGGGGGGAGGACTGGGGGGCTGGTCTGGGGTAGGGAACCTGAGCTCTTACTTGGTAGGACTCGGGGTGGGCTTGCTGCCCTGAGGCCTCCCTAAACCTTTCGTGTTCCAGCTCCACGTACCGCTTTGGCGCTGAGGACAGGTACTAGGGAGGCAGGTCTCCCTGTCTCTCCGGCCCCACCGCGGGGGTGGGGATGGGAATGGGGGGGAAGGGGGCGCGGTGACCGGCCGCCCCCTGGACTCACCCTTGTTCTCCCGCTTCAGGTGTTCAATCTCCTCGTGGAGTTTGACCAGCGTCTCCGAGTGCTGCTGCTGCAGGAACTGCAGGCTCTTCTCCAGGTCCACCACCCGCTTCTGCGCCTCGCTGAGCCCGAGCTGCGCCACCTGCTGCCCCAGGAGGTGGAGGACCCCGGACGAGCGGTGGCGCTGGCGCTGGGCGCCCCGGGAGCCCGGGGTCTCCGAGCTGGGGGGCGGCTGCCCGACCGCCACCCCTGTGGAGCTCATGTCGCCGCCGCCGCCGCCGCTCCTCCCCTCGGTGGCCGGGCAGCCCCGGCCTAGTGCCGCGTCGCCATAGAAACGGGCGCGCCCTGCGAGGGGGCGTGGCGTCAGTGGGCGTGGCGAGGAGCGCGGTGGGCGGGGCCTGGGTTCTCATTCTGCCGGGGGCGTGGAACGCAGCTTAAAAGGAACCCGCCCGCGGCCGGCTCGGCGCAGTGGGCAGAGCCTTGGCCTGCGGGCTGCAGGGCCCCGGGTTCCAACGTGCCTCAGGTGCAGGCTACATCCCCAGCCGCCCTGGTTCTGGTCCGGGTGCCTACGGGAGATGTGTCTCTCCCCCTCCCCTTCCATTCTTATCCTGGGTGAGGATTAACAAAAGAAAGGAGCTCAGGAAGGAGGCCTCCCGAAACAGTTACCCAGAAGATCTTAATAGAATGCTGGTCAGCAGTTTTCCAGGTGTGTCCTTTCAGGGTTGCGGTCTGCACTTGATTGGCTGGCGTCAGGGCAGGGGTGGGGTGGGTCATCATTCAATGCAGCTGGTGCTGAGGTCAGCCTGGGATGCTGAGGTCAGCCTGGGATGGTTTTGTTGCTTCTCTGGAACTGAAACATAGCGGCGGAACAGTCTGAGTCACAGTAAGAAGCCGGGTCCTGGGTCGGGGAGTCATGTTGAAGGCTGCAGGGACGGCAGCAGGTGTTTGACCGGTGGAGTCAGACCAGACCTGGTTCAACAACCTCGGTACTTGGGTTCTGGCTAGGAAAGAATTCAAAGCCAAGAACCCAACTGTAAGAGTCAATTGGGTGAGTTATAGAAGTAGAAAAAGTAATTCCTTGAAGAAATGGGTTTAGGCAACAAGTTACAGAGGTAAAGCAAGGGCCCTTGGAGCTGGGGAGTGAGGAAGCTGATGGTGAAGTGCCTGGGGGTGGGGGTGGGGGCGGAAGAGAGAGGGAATGGAAAGGGGAAGGTGCCCTCCTTGACTTTACCATTCTTAGTTCTTTATGGCTTCTAGGCCCTTAGCAATGGGTGATCCTGCCTATTGTATCCCCAGTACAGCTGAGGGTGCACATAGTAGGTGGCTATTTCACAGTTGATGGATGTGTGGGCAAAATAGAGCACTTCATTTTTGCTTTAAAAAATATATTTTTATTGCCAAAACCAGTTTGGGTCAGTGGATAGAGTGTTGGTCTGCCAACTGAAAAGTCCCAGGTTCGATTCCAGTCAAGGGCATGTACATTTGTTGCAGGCACATTCCTGGTGAGGGGTGTGCACGAGGCAGCTGTTCGATGATTCTCATAGATGTTTCTAGCTCTCTATACCTCTCCCTTCCTCTCTGAAATCAATAATATATTCAGAGAGGAAGGGAGAGGGAGAATAAACATCAATGAGAATAATTGATTGTTTGCCTCCTGTGTGCCCCACACTAGGGATCAAGCCTGCAACCCAGACATGTGCCCTGACTGGGAATTGAACCATGACCTCTTGGTTCAGAGGTTGACACTCAACCACTGAGCCACGCCAGCTGGGCTCATTTGTGCTTTTGAGCGTGCTGGAGAGGGTTTTCAGGTGAAGAAAGAGAGCGAGAGAGAAATGTGGACAGGAAGGTTGTGCATGGAGATGGTCAAGGGGACGATACCCCATCCTTGTGGGCAGGGATGGACTTCCATCATGGGGAGCAGAAGAGGGGTGTAGTGGGGAAATGGTGCCACTGACACCTGACCCCAGGCCATCATCTTCTGGTCGGCAAACTGCGGTTTGCGAGCCACATGCGGCTCTTTAGTCCCTTGAGTGTGGCTCTTCCACAAAATACCACGTGTGGGAGCGCACATACATTGCGATTGAAACTTTGTGGCCCACACCCAGAAGTCGGTTTTCGGCCCTCAAAAAGAAATTTCAATCATGTACTGTTGCTATTTGGCCCTGTTGACTAATGAATTTGCCGACCACTGTCCTGGGATGTTCGGATCTCTTCTCTTGACTTAATGAGTCTGGTAATAAAAACTAGTAATCTGCCGAAACCGGTTTGGCTAAGTGGATACAGGTGTCTTCAAACTACGGCCCTCGGGCCACATGCGGCCCGCAGAGGAGTCTGATCCGGCCCGCCAGGTTTTTTAGGCAGTGAGCGCAGCCGAGGTGTTACAGTAGGAATTAGTAGTTTATATAGTCCGGCCCTCCAGCTCTCTGAGGGACCGTGATCTGGCCCCCACTTTAAAAAGTTTGAGGACCCCTGGCAGAGCGTCAACCTGCGGACTGAGGGTCCCAGGTTCGATTCTGGTCAAGGGCATGTACATTGGTTGCAGGCACATCCCCATAGGGGGTGTGCAGGAGGCAGCTGGTCAATGTTTCTCTCTCATCGATGTTTCTAGCTCTCTATCCCTCTCCTTTCCTCTCTGTAAGAAATCAATAAAATATATTTTAAAAGAAACAAACCCCCCCCCCCCCCCCCCCCCCCCCGTAATCTGTCAATGCTCAAGCCAGCCTGACGAGATGCTCATGTGGGCTAAGTGCACAGTTCAGTTCCCAGCTGCATGTGACCCTCAGCTTCCAGAAGGCACAGAAAGTACACTTGTTCCAGAATCTCCAGGTTTTTGTGTTTTGTCTTGTTTTTGTTTTTTGTTTTTTTCTGTTATAGGAGACTGACATATTGCAGAACAGAAAGCAAAGTTCTCACAGCTTAGACCAGGTGTGGGGAACATCTGGCCCATGGGCTGAAAGAGGCTCTTGAAATCATGTGACCTGGCCCTGTCAAGGCATTAGGGGTGAATTACTTAAATGTTTGGCAAATATAGCAGGCTAATTTATTATGATCTTTTACGTCTTTATTGTTGAGAGTATTACAGTTGTCCCCCTTTCTTCCTCCCCTTTGCCCCCCTCCACTCAGTTCCCACCCCAGGCCTTCACCACCCTATTGTCTGTGTCCATAAGTAAGATCTTCGGTTAATCTCTTCCCACACCCTCCTCCCCCCTTCCCTCTGAGATTCCTCAGTCTGTTCTATGCTTCTATGCCTCTGGTTCTATTTTATTCACCAGTTTATTTTGTTCATTAGATTTCTTGTTAATTTATTTTGATATTTTGATTATTGATAGATATTTGTTGCCATTTTATCTATATATTTTAAATTTTATTTTTATTGATTTCAGAGAGGAAAGGAGAAGAGGGAATATAGAAACATCAATGATGAGAATCACTGATCGGCTGCCTCATGCATGCCTCCCACAGATGATTGAGCCAGCAACCCTGGCACATGCCCTTGACCGGAATCGAACCCAGGACCCTTCAGTCTGACGTTCTATCCACTGAGCCAAACTGGCCAGGGGTGTTACCATTTTATTGTTCATGTTTTTTCCCTCCTCCCCTTCTTCCTCCTCCTTGTTCTCTTCCTCCTCCCTTCAACATTTCATATAATACTGTTTTTGTGGTGAACTCCTTTAGCTTATTACTCAGCCTCTCATCATCTGAGCTGGGCACTCTAGGTTAGTGGTCACCAACTGGTGATCTGTGAGGTCTGAGAGGTTGGCAACCACTGCTCTACGGTGCCTCTATGTGGGCTGTGTGTACAGTCTTGTAGTTGAGCCTTGATTGCTGTTGGTGCCTCTAGGAGTTGACCTCCAGGCCAATTGGCTTTGAGGACCAGCTGCAAAGACAGTGGGAGAGCTGCTATGCAGGAGGCGAGGCCTGGCTGTGAAGCAAGGCAGGCTGGTGATAGTGCTGATCTTGGGCCTTTTATTTTTTTAAATATATTTTATTAATTTTTTACAGAGAGGAAGAGAGAGGGAGAGCGAGCTAGAAACGTCGATCAGCTGCCTCCTGCACATCTCCTGCTGGAGATGTGCCTGCAACCAAGGTACATGCCCTTGACCAGAATTGAATCTGGAATCCCTCAGTCTGCAGGCCAACACTCTATCCACTGAGCCAAACTGGTTTTGGCTTGGGCCTTGTATTGATGGGTTTGGGGCACGCTGTCACCAGCTGCAGCTTGTTTGAGAGATTTTAGCAAAGTCTGAAACCTGAGCCAGGACAGGCCATTCATATGGAAAAGCTGCTGCAAACAGCTTGGGTAGGGCTGCACATTGGATGGGGCAGGATTCAGGGAATCCCCAGGGTGGAGCAATCAGTGTGCTCCAGGCTGATTGAGACTCAGATGTGACTGCCGGTCAGCCCTGGGACAGGGAAGTCCCAGCACAGGAACAACGACCCCTGTGAGCACCCCTGTCTGGGTGAGAGCCAACCCTGAGTTCCTGCCCTGATGCCAGACAGTCCAGTTCCTCCCTGTATGTGCCTGGGAGGGCAGGGAGCAGAGCTCAGTAGGAAGGAAGGAGGGGCAGGCAGGAAGGACGTGGAATGGCCCCTTTGGTCTCAGGCTTGGAACTTGCTAATAAGTTCAGAGTTTGCTTCCTGGGATTCCCCACCTTTGGCAGCGGTGAGATTTGCACAGGGTTTCTGGGTTCTTTGTGTTTTTCTCTCCAGTTCTCTAAGTTTGACATTCTTACCCAGAACTTCACAGCAGCTTTCTGTCCAGCGATAGGACACCTAGCAGGCTGAGCCCAGGCACCAAAGGACTTGGGGTTAAGATTGGCTACAAGCCAAAACCGGTTTGGCTCAGTGGTAGTCGGTCTGCGGACTGAAAGGTCCTGAGTTCGACTCCGGTCAAGGGCATGTACCTTGGTTGCGGGCACATTCCCGTTAGGGGGTCTGCAAGAGGCAGCTGGTCGATGATTCTCTCTCATCAACGTTTCTAGCTCTCTATCTCTCTCCCTTCCTCTTTGTAAGAAATCAATAAAATATATTAAAAAAAAAAAAGGGCTACAAGCCTGTTGGATTTCTGGTCACAGGCTACCAAATACCACTGTACGGATTCACATAAAAACACAAAGCTCAACGTTTAGTCTGAACACTCCCCACCCACCACAAGATGGCTGGTTTAAATCCCTCCTCAGAGCTGTTCTCTGGTGTCATCTGCGTAATGAAAGGTGTGTGACCCTGTAGGGCGTTTTGACAGTGAACACGTAATGGTTG